GAAATCGTCAATCCGATACGGTCTGCCGGTAACGTCGCAATTTAGTAACAAAGAGTTCAGTGTGTCTGCTTCAGAGGGGGCAAAATTATCTTATAGTCATTACTTGCAGAAAAACCGCGGCCAGCGGGGGCCGTCATCACTGTTCCATCGGAGCCTGCCATCCTACCGTCCGCACGTCTTAGGATTAGCTCCGCAGCATCGCATCTGATCCTAAGAAGTCGCAAAAGGCTTAAAAACCGGTCTGGTCTATCTCGGTCGAAGTCGGTCGCAAGAGTGTGAACGGGCCTTTATACGAAACTTTCGGACGGCACTTAACGCGGAGTACCATCGGACAGCACTTAAACGTCCTGCAAAAGTGCCATCAGAAGGTACACTGTAGTCACTACGAATCTTCTTTTGCAACAGGAGTGACCGACGGCACCGGGCGAACGAAATTAGAAAACACTGTTTCTGGATGTCGGCAATTGATACGCGACGAGCACAGGCGGCGCGTGAACACACACCAGCGAGTACACCGCCGAGCCGCCGAGCACCCGACCACGCGCACACACTCGCCGACCGACCGACGTTTCAAAATGCGGTCGGCGGCATCCGAAATAAAACGTGTTTACATCAAAGGACACCAAATAGAATCTGGACCACTGGACGTCCGTGAGGTCACTGGCCACGCCCCCTGGATTTCAAATCGGTGCCGAAAATACGCGCCCACACTTTTCGAATGAACCGGCTCCGAATTTCCGATGCGACATCTTCTGCCCTCGTACGGGCTCCGATTCTGGTAAATTTACTTTGTGTGTGAGCTGCTGACTGTCTGCAAAGGAATGCTGAGACATTTCAGAAGGGAAAGGAACCGAAAAAAAAAAATCCAGTCATCGCCGCAAGGAGGGAGCGCGCACGAGCAGGTCGACAATGTTAAGCATCTCGTCCCACACTGCTGGTGCTGCTCTCGTGTATGTGTGTGTGTGGATCTTTTGATCGCCCTACCCGTCGTTTTATTGTCGTCACCGCAATCACGGGTAATTTTTTTTTTTTTTTTTTTTGTGTGTGTGTGTGTGTGTGTTTGCTTGATACTACGGCATTTACGTGGATTCGCCAAACAAGTCCTGCTACGGTTTGAGTGACGTGTGTGGCAACTATAGCCAACGATGACACTGGCCGATGACCTCTCTCTCTCGATAGAGAGAGACTTCTAGATGTTCGTGTTCAAATGTTTTCGTGATGGATCGTGTGGGGCGTATGGATTCGATCGACAGGTGAGGAACAACTTATTTACGGGCTTTCTTGGTCGTGTAATGAGTGAGTGAAAAGACGTTTATTGATACTGGTGAATACAAAGCAGTCAACTTATTGTAAGACGCAAGTAAAGTGCTGCAGTCGTTTTTTTTTTTTTTTAATCTCGTGATAGAATGGAGTTTTGTTCTTTGTCGTTATCCGTTTGCTATTGCGTCGCCATTTGTAAAAATGCGTGGTAATATTCTAGTGAACATGGTTAAAATTGTTCAATCACTACCAACTCGCCCAACTAACCACTTTACTAATATTCTAGTTTTTACTGGAAGAGGTTTCTGTGATTATTGAAAGTGCGTTGTTTGTGCTTATGTGTTTATTAATACTAATGTTATTTTGTTGCCTTTACCGCGTTTATACTAGAATCTTAACTGTATTAAGGTAATATTATTATTGTATACAAAATAGGTTATATTTTGTTCTTAAGGCAGCTCGAGCCCATAAGGAAAAGTAAATTAGTTGACTAAATAGTAAGTTTAGTACCCCTGCCACACGGAAAAGTAAATATAGTTTGATTAAATAATACGGGATTTAATCAGCTCGCTGTTTTGAGTGATTATATGAGCGTCGCAAGCTGATTTGTCGGCCCCATGTTGTCATTCGATCGAAATTACATTAATTTGAATTCAGTGACTGCACGCGATAACATCGCTTACATGATCGTAAGTGACACTTGTCGAGCCGTGTCCGCGTTGGCTACGTCTTCCTGATTTTTAACTGATCTGTACTGCTGTGTCCAATCACTGCGTGTCTCGCCATTTTGTCAAAATATTTCTGTATAATATAAGCATTCCTACGGCAACAATTGCGTGACTCGATATTTTCTACTTAAAACAATCGCATTTTTCTATAGACGTCTTCTACGCATACCTCGTGCCATTTCGCATCGATTATTTAGCGGTGTAATGTTTTGCCCGTGTAATAAAGTGTTTCTTAGACCCGTTGCAATGTGCAGCTTTCATTTTAGCTAATAAGACACGCGTATGTGACGAAAAGCGCGTTACAACGGTCGATCCACGCGCGTCGCCTTCGCTTCGACGCGCGTCCCTCATGGCCTTCCTTTGCGACTTCACGAGAAGAGCGCTACGGCCTTATTTCTAGGAGGTGTTGGGCATACCGAGCGCGCGTGAGAGGGGGAGAAACTTCCTCCGCCGGAAAAGAGCGTCACACGACATGTTTCGGGGGTCTATTTCACGCAGCGGATAACGCGGGCATTTTCACACTTCGATACTGGCGCCATCTAGAAGTTGCGCGTTCAACCACGTGACGAGCCGCGCGCCATCTGGTGTCTGAAACGGACGAATAAATAGAAAAAAATTGGCTTGCTCATTATGTTTATACAGCCTTGATGGAGATGCGCCTCAACGGGTAATCGTCCCTTAGCTGTAGATGAGAAATTTGGCCAGTGCGGTACAACCGCTAACCTGGGATTTTTAACGTGCATCACGCAGTAGTGATCACACGAACGCGTGCCGGTACGAAACTCATCCAGATCGAAACAGGCGGGGGCGGCGGGGATCAAACCCAGGAGGTTCCCAGCGCAAGCTTTCGCTCCACGCTCCGAGCTGAGACGCGTTAGCCCACTCGGCCACTTCCTCCCTACGAATAAATAGAGGTACCGCGCCCCCTTAAGTATTTTTTTAACGCGAAACATGGCAAATTCCACCATCTTGGGCGTTGCTGATTGTCTGGCAACCCTCCTTCCTACTCTCGACGTTTGCAATTCTCGGAACGAGAAGGAAGCGAGAGAGGCTGCGCCAAGGCGAGAGGAGGAAAGCGCATGGAGCAACAGAGTTGCAACAGAGCGGGCGTCTGCTCTCGTGCAGGCAACTGCTTTTCCGAATCCTCTCCCTCAGGCGCCGCCATTAAATTGCAAACGCTCTCCAGGTTTGGAGTTGCACCCACCCTCACTTGAGCCTCTGCCACCATTCACTTAATCTTTGCTTGGTAATCTCTACAGTCTTGAAATCCACTCTCCCTTCGCTGTCTCTAAAACCCAATGACTTTATTAAATCTATGTTGTCTTCGGTAGGCATAGGGTGAAGCCCTTTACAGTAGAGTATCAAGTGCTCAGCCGTCTCGTCCTCCTCTCCACAAGCAGTGCACACTGTATCCATTTCCTGGTACTTCACTCTGTACGTTCTGGTTCGCAGAACACCCGTCCTCGCCTCAAACAGCAATGAGCTTCCCCTAGAATTGTCATAAATGCTATCTTTGGCAATAACTGTTTTGTTTAAATTATAGCTTTCCAGAGCCGTCTTTGTCTGCATTCCCTCTAGCCACCGATCTCTTTCTGTGGCCTTAACTTTCTTCTTAACTGAGACTTGCTCTTCCGTATCTTCGCTATAGCCCAAAAACTTTCCTCTTAATTTCCTAGTGCGCTGTCTCCACTTTGTGTCTACACTCCTCATGAATAAATAGCTGAAAACCTTTCGTGCCCATTGCTCCCCATCCATTTGCCTCAACCTATCCTCAAATTCTATCTTGCTCACCGCTTCCCTGCTCTCAAATGACGCCCATCCCATGTCTTCTCGTACTCCCTGGTTTGGCGTTTTGCAATGTGCCCCCAAAGCCAGTCTACCTACTCCGCGCTGTTTTATTTCTAGTCTCGCATGCACTTCGGATTTCATGCATAGCACTGCGTTTCCAAAAGTCAAGCAAGGCACCATGACCCCTTTCCAAATCCAGAGTGGAAAGGCTGCCGCCATCTATGAGCGATGGCGGCAACCAGATACGTGGCTTGCCGCCGTCGCTCATAGATGGCGGTACGTGTCCAGAGTTCGGTGTCTTCATTTCTTTATTGTTGCCGAGAAGCACCAAGAACAAAGTGCGAACGCAGTTTCGTGCTATTATTGCTTTTTGGCGGCAACACGGACGCCAGGAAGCGTGCTCGTTCGCTGGATGTGTTCGACGTTACAGCCAGCTACGGCTGACCAAAAGTACAACGACGCTATCAAGACTCTAGTGATATCGTAAAGTGACCAAACGTCCCGATTTAGGCGGGACAGGTCCCGCTTTTCTGTCCGTCGTCCCGCTGTCCCGCAAGCGTGCTTGTGGGACGGTGTCTTGTCTTGTCTCGCTTCGGCTCCCCAAATAGACGCGGCTAGACGAAAACACCGCACCAGTGAGAGGGTGCTTTCCCGAATAATATACAAGATTCGCTTGATAGAGAAGATGCTGATACTATGGACATATTATGTGCAAAAAATTAATAAATTGAATGAGGATGGCTAGTTGGGCTAGTTGGTTTTGCATCATGGTGTAATACGCCAAAACAACAGGGACACACAAAACGAAGGTAGAACTAGACAGGACGAGGCGTATCAGCGTCCTGTCTAGTTCTACCTTCGTTTTGTCTGTCCCTGTTTTGGCGTATTACACCATGAAAAAATTAATACTTTAATACTAAAGAAATATTCCAGCCAAATGTATCAGATGTACATAGTAACCCTGAGACGTAGGAAAAATAAAAAGAAACGGACATTACAACGATGGATATCATTCACCAGCTCGCCTGTGTTTTTTACCTTTCTTCACGTATTAGATGTGCATGAAAAAAAAATGTGTACGGTCTATAAGAAATACTAATAAGGTATGATTTGTTACCAAAATAAAGTTTTCTAACAAAGTTGAGCTAGCAGTAAATCCGAAACCAGAAAAGAGTCATACGGCCATGCATTCAAGCACGTCTATGTAGAAGCCAAGCCAAGCCAGCTCGAATCCAACATGGCGTCTGCTCTTATTTTGTAGCTGACGAGCCAAGTGATCGCATTTGGTGGTGCCGCATCCAATTCCAGTGCTTCCTTTTCGACTCACCTCGGCCATGGCGGACGCGGAAAGGCCCGCGCCGCAGATAATCGAAGAGCACGGCGACTTCCCGCGCCAAATCGTCCTCGAGAAGGAAGAAGAGGTCATCGGGCGTAGCAGCGATTGCAGCATATGCGTCCGCTCCGTGCTCGTCTCCCGACGCCACGCCATTTTCAAACGCCTAACGGACTCCAGGCAGTGGTCCGTCTCGGACGCCGGCAGCATGAACGGTGTGTACGTGAACGGCCAGCGAGTGGACCTGAGCAACCCGCGGGTGTTGGAAAGGGACGATGTTGTGTCGTTGGGGCCGCCTCAAAGAAGCAATCTCGTGTTCCGATACGCGACATCAGATCCCCGTCAGGACGCTTTGGCGTTGTTGGGTCACCGTTCGAAAAACCAGCGCGCGTTTCTTGTTTTAATCGGTAACAGAACCGCAGGCTTCGCTAAAAACACCACCAGTGCCATCGTCGAACAACCCGTCGCGTCCGCCACGGAGGGTAACTCCCCCAGCAACGAACTCGTCATCGATCGGGAAAATAACAACAGCGGCGTCGCGGACGGACCACACACTTCCGCCGCGATTCACGGTGGCCGGCACACCGGTTCGTCGAAAAAGATTCGGCTCTCGCAGGGGGACAGCAACAACGTGGTTCGGCGGGTGGAGACCATCATGGAAAACGAACTGACTTGCGTCATCTGCAGCGAGCTCTTTATAGACGCTGTCATGTTGCAGTGCGGCCACACCTTCTGCGCCTACTGCATCCAGAACTGGCGCAAGCAGCGCAACTGCTGCCCGTTCTGTCAGGTCAAGATCTCGTCGGTGACCAGGTCGTTCGTGGTGGACAACGTGATCGAGGAGCTCGTCTGCTTCAATCCCGAGCTCAAAAAGTTCAGGAAGCAGCTCGTGCGGTCCAGGCTACGTGACGTCACGGGCCGTGGCGAGGAGGACGTGTGTTTGTGAAGTCTGAAACATGTAGCCCATATTATGTCGGTGCGATCCACTTTGATTGCCTTAATAAGCGGGGTGACTGACAACCGAACCACCTCAAGTCACGAAAGGGTCGTTTACTGAATCATTGTTGAACAAAAGCTGCCACTGAAAGCGAAGCATGTTTTTTATTGGCCCCGGTTGGTCACAGAATACAATTACTGAGAGCTTTAGAACGAGCTTCAGGCATGCCCGTGCAGTGAAGGCATCTGGAAGAACAATGAGCTTACACAAACCAGGGCAATTTTGTAAACTTTCCAGTTGTTCTAAAGGTGTTGGCGGCTTTTGCAAACCAGGAGCTAACTCGTGTCTCTATACTCGGCGTCAACTATTTTAAGCTACATTGTCAAGGCTAGAGTAGCTTTTACAATGCTCCCAACGCGTCACTTTCGCACGAGAGCGAGTGCAAATAATGCGCAAGGCAAAGCCATGTGCTTTTGCAGCTCTGCGGCCCTGCAGCACTGAGGAGTTCACACTAGCCTGGACAACGTAGCACGGAATAGTCGACGCCGAGTATAGTGCCTCGACCGTTGAACAGTGACTTTGCACAGTAAATCTTCCAATCCTAGGCTAGCCTATCCAGGAACGAAAACCTCTATAAATGTTAGAGTCTGGTAACACGTTGCCAGCAAACATGAAACATGGGCTGTGTGTTTATACGAACGCCGCTTTGCTCGAGACTGTCTCCGCTCTCAGCAAATATTCTTTCGCATTATGTGTTTTTTTTCCCTATAGTTTCGAGTGTTAGCTTGCTGTGGGTACCTGCAGAGTTTCCCTTTAAAGTTGTGTTTTCCTCCCCCACCTTCTCAAGCCGAACTTCCACAGCATGCTTTACAAGAAGAATAAAAAGTGAAAGGGTTTGTCCTCTCGTATTCGGACTAACGTTCATATTGTGCATGTGTAATGTGTTGCTTTTTCTGATCGTCTATAGCCTCGGACTTAGCTGCGTCCTGCCCCAAACTTTTTCTCGCTCGTCTGGGACCAAGTTAATCTGTGCCTTGGCATCTATCTTTAAAGTTATATCCTCCTCTGCGCAGCCTGCATCCGTCAACAGAAATTATGTTGAATACACTTTCCCTACTGCATATGCATAAACCTGCCACCTTGGCGGCTGAAGTCGTCAAGATTTTGTTGCATAACAAATGTTCCTTTTTGGGTTCCAGGTTTCTTTATTGTGTGCTGAAATAGTTTCTTCCATTTACCTCATCGTGATGTTCAAACATTTTCTTCCTCATTCTGAAGGTGAAATAATGCGCTTGGTTTCATTTCCACCCCCAGTTGCCAACAGTTGATGCAAATATCATTTCTTTTTTCTGATCACCGAGCAACAGGTCGCGATGAAAAAACCTGGAACCTTTCTGGATTTTGTTTGTGAAGTGGCAGGTTTAGAAGTCCAGTGAACAATGATTGTGACCGATGCTCTTTACATGTACAGCCAAACATTTAACAACCAACACTGGATGAATGCAGTAAAGTAGCCAGATATGAGAAACAAAAATCTGCAAAGTTACAAGCTGCAGCTGAATGTGTTTGATACTGGCACATGGAATGCATTTTATTGAACCTTGGAAAAGCCTATTTATGTGCACTAATCATCCTTCACATTTGTTGTATGGGTGAGTGTACAAAGCTCCAACTACACAGCACAGGTGATTATCATTGGAGGAGTCACTATCATGGTGCTTCATCTAAATAACCAATGCAGAATTATCAAACTGGCCCTTGAGTGTCGTTTTTGTTGTTGTTTTTTGAACAGGAAGAGCTTTGGGTCTTTTTTCGATTTGGTTGAAAAATTAAATCTCATACTGAACGAATTCTATATTCCAGTGAATTTTTATCCTAAAAACAAAAAAACTAAATATGAAAATATAAAATACTTTTTTTTACATACAAAATGTGATGAAAAAAAAACGAAGGAAGAGCTCCATCTTCAATCTGAATGTTTGCAACTAAACATATTTTCTGAAAGTGCACAGAAAACTGGGACTAGAGCAGCAAATAAATTTCCCCAAAACATTTATAAATAATTTTACTTGTAAAAATACGATATAACCGAAACAAATTTGCAACCAACGTTAATAGATTACCTCAGTTGTGGAACTCCTGCGGAAGGCGGTACCCCCAATGATTTCCCTACACACCCCCTAGGGCGGGTGTACACACCTCCCCCCCCCCCCCCCCCCCCCCCCCTTGTTTCTTTGAAGGCACTACCCCACCTCACTCACTTCAATCCGCCTCCCATCATTTGAAGTGCCATCTAGATTTTCGTTTCATAACTGTGTATTCTAGAGAGCAGACCTTGAACACCACCTAGACGCTGAGCTTCGAAACATGTGTATCCCATAGAATGTATTGCAGTTACCAAAAAAAGCAGCCGTCTAACGCGTCGGTTGGCGGGGGGGCGAGGACTCTCCCACCGTCGTTCTACGCGCCGGACGGCTGCTTTGCTAACTGCAGTGTATTCTATGGGATACGTAAGTTTCGAAGTCCATTGCCTAGATGGCGTTCCACCGTACTCTATGGAACACACAGTTCGTAAACGAAAATCTAGATGGCGCTTCGAATGACGGGAGGCGGAGTGAAGTGAGTGAGGGGGGGTAACCCCCTCCGCGGGAGTTCCACAACTGAGGTAATCTAGTAACGTTGCCTGCAACTTTGCTAGGTCGTTATCTTGTTATGACGTCGTATGCATAAGCATCATTAGCACATGGGCAGCTTGAGACGGTTCTGCCAAAGTCTGAAGGCTATCGCGATTGTCCGTGGGAAATGATGGACTACGATTCATCAAGCTTGTCTGAGTCGACCATTGACCAGGAAATTTTTTAAGATTTTCGGCACGAGAGTTCAGACGATTCGCCGTTCACACTTGATCCGCCGGCATCGCTTACGAGGCTCCGAGCTAGAGTTTACTAGAAGGTACGAGTGGGACGAACTATAGGCGCCGCTCATGCTTTCAGTTGTCCCTCAAAATGTGGAAAGCGATCAGATGGAACCAAGTCACTTTGATCGCAGCACCACCTTCACTGCGATCAAGCAACGACACAGGTCAAGGTCATATAGGGTCGTATAGGCAATATAGGGGCTATATTGTGTTTTTTATGATTTTGACATCAGAGGGAACGTCAAAGCACCACGACACCACGACGTCATCGTCAACGACGTTACGCGACGTCAAGATGCTGCATAAGGCCGTCGTGACATCGCGTCGCGTCGAGGACGACACCACTTGGCGACCTCAAGTCACCGTTGTAACGCGGTCGTGACGTCGCATTGAGGACGACGCCGTTACGTGACATCAAGTCTCTGTTGTGACGCGGTCGTGACATTGCGTCGCGTTGAGGACGACAATGTTACGCGACATCAAGTATCCGTTGTAACGCGGTCATGACGTTGCGCACCACATCGAGGACGACGTGGATGTGGTCGTCGATGCCGACATTCACGTCGATGCCCCACGCAATGTCAAACATTGCTATGACGTCACGTTAACGTCGTCTTGACGTCATCGTGAACGTCAACGTCTCGACGAAGCCTTGACGGCGTGTAACGTTGTCGCCTTCGCCAGCATCAGCGTCGACGCGCAGTCACGACGAAGTCATGACGTCGTGTAACGTCGTCGACGATGACGTCGACATCGTGAAGCTGTCGGGACGTCTTCATGACGTCGAGTTGCGTCATGTCGACAATGACATTAACGAACTGACATCAAGCGTCCTTATGACATTGCATTGACAAGGACGCCGTCCTCTTGACGTCCCGTGGCGTTGGCGTCGTCGTCGTCATCAACGTCAACGTTGACATCGTCGTCGTCATCAACGTCAACGTTGACATCGTCGTCGTCATCAACGTCAACGTTGACATCGTCGTCGTTGTCAACGCAATATGACGTCAGAACGCAGCCTTGATGTCGTGTAATGCACGCTGTCAACGTCGACGACGTTGACGTCAAGGCGTTGTCCTAATGTCGCATGGCGTTGTGACAACAAGTCGGGTTGTGGTGACTTTATGTATGTGACGCCTGGTGTGTAGGTTGTTTAAAAGATATAGTCTGGCGTTCTATCGTTTCTATCCAGTGTGCCGGTCAAGCTTGGGGTTGGAACGAAACGCGTTTTTCATAGAAAGCGGCTAAACCTAACCACTTCGCTCGTAGCGCCCTAGAGGGCGCTACGAGCAAAGTGGTTTGGATTAGCTATTTTTTTTCCACATGCGAAGGTACCAAAATAGCACCCCGGTGGCCCCACTCGTTCTTTCTAGTACACTCTATCCGAGCTGCTTTTGCGATCCGCCGAGATAGGGACCCAGATGTGGCTTCAAAGCAGAATGGCATGGAAGGTTTTACTTGCTAGGAAGGTGTGAACCGTTTTCTAGCATGACGCAAACGCTAGGAGCCAGCGTTCGCGTCGAACTTCTCGGACCACTGATCTCTATGACAATTGCTGGATCACGCTTCCAACTCCCGCGAGTGAAGGCACCGGACGGCCATCTTGCTCATAGGCAAATTGCGGTTTTGCTAGCGTTGCAGAGGCTGGCGGCAGCGTGCGCTGAAGACACGTCTTCTACTCCTTCGTCGCCATTTGCCGAACAAACTTTTCAAGACCCCGTGAAGCATTGAAACTTTCCGTTGAGTGCACGTTTAAAATTTTACGAAAGCGCAGTGCCACAGGAAAAAGGCAGAACTCGTAGAAAGCAAGTTTCGCCGGTCTCGTAACATGATCAAAGCTTCCTTGGCACACCAAAATGCTGCGTCTCTGTGCCTTCACATGCTTGAATATCGATCAAAATATCGGCGCCACGCAAAGTTTTGAAGGTGTGTCGCGCATAGATACTGGGTGTTTCAAAGAGCAGCCAGGCACTTTAAATCGAACCGACTTTGTGCAGCGTTGCCCACAGATGGTGCATTTTTTTTGTAAGATTTGCTAAGGGCAAACTTACCTGAGCAAAAAGTAAAGAAAGAAATTAGCTCCTATGGGAAACGCAGCGAAGCCACTGGTCTTTTAACAATACAGCGCCGTTTCGCACGGGAGACAAGAGATGGCGCAAGCGGTCGCAACGCCAACTGTCGCCAACGAAGAGCATACAGCGCCGAGAGCCGCGCTAGCTTTTCTGATATCAGTTTTATTTTATCATCCCAAGCATATTGAATGGACACATAATCGATTAAAAAATGCTTTGTCGGAATATTTTAACTGTTTTTTTTCTTTCGGGATAGTGATGTCGTCTGCTTTGCAGTTCCTTTTACTACCGCGTCTGTCTTTGGTTCTGCGACTGTCGCCTCTGCGGAACGCGCGCCGCTTTTGAGTCGAAAAGATTGTCTGCTAAAGACGACGGCTCTCGGCGCTGTATGCTCGTTCGTTGGTGGCAGTTGGCATTGCGACCGCTTGCACCATCTCTTGTCTCCCGTGCGAAATAATGCCGTGTTTGAAGACTGGTGGCTTTGCTGCGTTTCCATAGGAGCATAAGCCTTTTTCTTTCCTTACTTTTCCCAAGTAAGCTTGCTCTTTGCAAATTTTACAAAAAAAGCACCATCTGTGGGAAACGCTGCACAAAGTTGTAGCGCAATAGGTTAAGAAACAGAATTTTGCGGTCGACTTAAAGAGCCTGGCCGCTCCTTGAAACATTCAGTAAAGCAACACGGTGGAGCAAGGATGGTTTTCGAAAGCAAAAGTACAAGACGGCGAGATTGAAAATTCTTGAGGCGCGGCCCATACGGTCATGTGCAGTCGGTTAATTGACCAATCACAATTAGGCAAGTCGTGCTCAAACTTGATGTCCCGTGCAATTGTTGATAATGAGCCAGACCACTGATCAGTGATGATAGCGCAGTATTCTGTAAATCGTCAGACGACTTAAAAAAAGACGTACCTTCCCTCCCTCTTCCGTTGCCACTGGACGCTGACCAAGCTTGTTTCTGGACTGCGAGAGCTGGAAGTTACAAACACACAACAACAACATTGTAAATGCCAGGTGTGTCACACATTTCAACAACAGCACCGTGTTAGGCAGGAGTGTAAACCAATTAACAAGGGAAATCATTGAAGCCTACGACTAGAGGACAAATCTGTTAGTACACCGTCCATATTATTGCCACAAAAAGAGATTGATTATTTAGCCGCACATTTGCCTAAGCGTAAAGGGTGGCGGTTCACACAGACTCGTTTTCTTATGTTACATTATGAAAAGTCACCGGGAAATCTGTGCTTCAGATTAAGCGTAGCTACCAATTCAAGAAGCTAGCCTGGCACGCAACATTCTAAACACTAATGTTTCGGTGACGACGATCACTGAAAAATTTGTGTCTCGAATGTCGCATGCCTGGCTATCAAGCTTGAATTGGTAGGCACACTTAATACGAAGCAGATTTCCTGGTGAATTTTCGTAATGTAATTAGTAACGTAGCATAAGAAAACGGGTCTGGGTGAATCATCCTTTAGAAGGGAATTTTTCGCTTCTTATTTTTCGTCTTTTTCTATTTGAAAATTGTCTCAAATTGAAATAGAAGTAGAAGCCGAAGTGAACCACGCAATACAATTGGTTGTTAGTGAGCGCTGTCCGAGAGTTTTGTTCCTTGTGCGTGTGAAAGCTTGAGCGAAAGTTTTATGAGTGCGCTGCAACGTCGACCAAGAACAACCAACTCATCCAATCTGAAGTTCTTACAAATACAGTCGTCAGAGTAAAGTAAAACGCTGCTCGAGAGGCACATACGGCTTCACGCTCATTGCACTCGCAAAACACATCCACACGGCGTCGAACCTTGATCGGTATCCAAGCGCGCAAAGGCACAGAGACGCGGTACTTCGGCGTGTCAAAGAAGCTCGCACCGTGAGACCGGCGAAACTTGCTTTCGACAAGTTATGGCTTTTTTCTGCGGTAGTGCGCTTGCGTAAAAATTTCCACGTGTGTTCAACAGCAAGTTTCAACGCATACATAGGGTCTTAAAAGATTGCTCCGGCGAATGACGACGAGCAAGTAAGAAACGTGTCTTCAGCACGCTGCCGCCAGGCTCTGCAACGCTAGCAAAACCGCAATTCGTTTGTGAGCAAGATGGCCGTCCGCGCTGCAGCGACCAAGCAGGCAAAGAGCCTAAACCAGACAGCAAGTGATTCGGAGGTGTACGCGTAAACTTCAAAACTAATTTTCTCAAAATAATATTAATATTTTTATTAAATTTTTCGCAGACATAGCCACAGGTGCATATTTAGTATTAATGACGGCGACGGCAAACGGTAATCCGCGAGGCGGTCTACGAACCCTGCGCCATTCATCACATTTTTAAAATGGCGGCATTCTGCACGGGCAGTGAGCGTACTTTTCGGAGATGAAATTTATATCTCTTCAAGCTCTATGAACAAATTTCGCTCACTATGATTGAAGTTTGTTCTTTAAAACGTATAATATTTCTCACCGTCTTCTTGATTGGGTAAGTAAGCATACTCTAGGCCTAAGTAGCGTTTGGAATCCGATCGAAAACCTTCTCGAAGGCGTCTGCTCTTCGTGGAAGATCGCTTTGAAAAAGCCGATGGAAAAGCCGTTTTTTTCTTTCCTCATTCTATTTATTAGTACTTACCCATATAATATACAAAGTACCATAGGCATCGTAACCATTTTCTCATCAGGTGACCATTCTTTTTTGTTGTTGTTGTTTTAAAGACAACAGGTGAAACAAAAACTTGCTTGAAGAAATGTTTGCCTCTCCGTCTAAATATTGGCAGATCATACTTGTTATAAGACCAAAAATAATGTTGGCGGTAGGCCTGTTTCATTGTGAACTAATGCTGCTTTTTAAATACCTTTTGATTTTTTTTTTCTTTTCTTTTTATAAACATTTTTACAAATTGTGATGTCATAAGTATCACTAATTACACTTTCAGATTTATTTTAACCTGTGGGAGTGGTGCAACACAAGACATGCATCGCCGAATCTGTATACTTACCTTTCCAGCATGTATACTTACCTTTCCAGCATGAGTTGTTCCATATTAATAATTGCATCAGCTATAATCTGTACAATATAATAAACTGGGTATTCTGGTTATCACTGGGTGAAAAAATGTTTTATCAAAATTCTGAGCAGCTAACCTCAAGCGACACTTCGTAGCATTTTGTTTACAAAACACTGTAGAGTCTTCCCTCTTTGATAGCAGAGACTTGTCAATCACGAACATGCTCTCATTTATTCATAATCAAAATGCTCTTCGTTTAGAATAATGCATCTATGGGAATATGTTTGTTATAGAGAGGCATTTATGTTTATCTTTCAGGGCATGCCTGATGATCCTGACCTTGGAGAGCATTCTGTCAGATCACGATGGAAATCACAACATGTCCAACTCGTCAGAGGGTTGCTGGGAAAGAGAGGACTATGTAGTGAAGCAGAAATGTGTTCCATGCACAGAGTTTGAAAGGGTCTGTTGGCATGCTTAGCCATCCCACGTGTTTGCAGACACAGTACATTTGCATCAAACTTTGTCTGAAAATGAAAAAAAAAAAAAAATATATATATATATGTCTGCAGGATTGTAGAGACCTCAGGTAGAGCCTGACTTGTAGGCGACATTGTTTGCTAACACATATGTTACATGCCACCTAGTTACAATAATGTGAACAATGAAGTGTGTCGATGCATACTGTCATTTACTTGATTTGCAGTGAAAACAAAGTTTTTGAGCACGCTTTCATTGTCATTCTACAGACAGGTTGTTTCAAATAAATGCAGGTTAGCTGGATTAAAAAAAAAAAGGGGGCATAGATTAGCCATTAATGGAAGAGCATAACTTGGCATGCAAACTGCAGCTTTCATGCTGCATTTTTTGGGTCAAAACATTCTGTGTGAACACTTCACAAAGATGTAGTCGGAAGGAGAATGGCATTGTATTTCTGGGTCGACAGTAATGCCACCTGTGACCCGATGAACTAACAAAACATGCCAGTACATCCGGTGCTACTTTTAACAAGGATGTAAGGCATTGCTTATTCGACTGAAGTTTGGCACATAAATACCCTGCACAGAAAAGGACATAAAACTTGTTTGGGCTATACCACGGGATGTCAAACTTCCAAACTTAGATGTAGCTTCTCGCCAGAAACTGCGACGCCTTGCCAGGAGACTAGTGTGTAGATCAGGGGTGGCCAAGCTGTGGTTTGTGGCTCCCTCCCCTTCCCCCCTCCTCCCTCAACTGCCTCCTAATCACACAAGGACTTCCCCAAAAAGAGAAATGGAAAGCGTTTTAAATCGAAAGACAGGTTGCGGTTTAGGAGTCTCGTGCTACTGCTACCTTACGTACAGTTGGATTGCTTTTGACTCGGATAGATTGAAAGTAGTCCGAGTTTCGTTTCTTGCTCCAAACAAAAGTTTGCCCCCCCCCCCTTCGCGGTTCTTGGAAGTTTCGTGGTTTTATCTGCGGCTCTTATGCCGGGCCAGCCTGGCCACCCCTGGTGTAGATGTAGTAAAACTCGCAGCACTTGGTGTATCTGCAATATTTTACAGATCTTGCTAAGGTTAATTTCGATTAAAGGAGCGAACAAACAGGACGAAAAAAGACACATATGACACGGATAGGCGTGTTGTACGTGTGTCTTTTTTCGTCCTGTTTGTTTGTGCCTTTTAACCTTTTAATTGATATGAACCGACTAGCCCCAACCAAAGTTTTGTTAATTTCGAATTCTGATAAATGGTAAAAAAATCTATTGCAGGCTAGCAAGCACCTCCCCGTTTGCATCCAGTCAAAGTACAAGGAGCTGGTCACTTGCAAGGCCTCTGGCGATGCTTATCGCAAGTAAGTCGTTAATCAGTGTCGCCGCACGCTTTACTTGTACTCTTCTCCGCCATTGTTTGGTGCCACCACAACAGTCCCTCATCCCTGAGTTTGCATCACATGACGTTTGCGTATGTCGGGGATCGGCATGTTGGCCAAAATCATTCTTGAACAAGATTTTGAAAAGGTAAATATTGTTTTGAGTATTTTGCAACATCCCGGAATCCGACTCCGACCTTGTTCAGATTGTGTATTATTACACATACTTTCTTTAAAGCGCAGTGTGCTCATTTCTCCTAGATTCCTGGTGTTGGAGACCTCAAGATTTAGCTCGAAAATGTTAGCGTCTGAGAGCAAACCATCACGAGTTTTTCTTTTCTTTGCAATCTCACATTCCGGTCATTAGAGTGGTGCGAAAGATCGGCCAGTAATGCCAAGTCGCACACCCAATCAGGATCGGGAAGGCTATGTGGGGACGTCCTTCCGAGTTAAAAACCTGCAATCTCTTTACGAAGCTAAAAAACGGCATAACTTTGGCTGTTTTTGTTTAGTACTGTACAACCCCACAGTAAGCCTCTATAGTTGACAAAACTGTTGAAATGAACGATGGTAGATATAGTAATTTTGGATGAAATATTTGTGCTAGATATTGATTCCTTTAATACTGAATCTCAGTGCATCACTTTGGTTTAATGTCTTTAGGGGGGGGGGGGGGGTCTTCTCTGGTTATGCCGCGGGTTGCCGACCCCTGGATGGTGTGATCAAGTTTCGCATATGATGTTAGGACACTGGCGACATTGCTTCGCTCCATCACGAGTCTCTTTTTCTTTAGCAAGCGGGACAACGGAAAGCACTTCCTGCATTTCCCGTTACGGTCTGGCCACGCAAAGTCCTCCCTTTGGCGACCCTAGCGTTCCACAGTACCACTTGTCCACCACCAAATCTAATCCAGTTCGATCCGACAACCGGGGCAGCACTCCTTTGAGGTGCAGCCCGCTCAGTTGCTCCGGGTCAGACTCGTCGGTATGAAGTAGCGGCGAACAAACGGATAAAAGACGTTTGCTCGTTCCAATTTGTCATCTCGCTCGAGCCTCGATAGCCCGACACTAATTGCCTGTCGACGCCGCGATCGCCGACAGCTTGAGAAAGGCGGGGCGTTGCCTGTTACATTCACGCCTCTCGCTTTGTTTTTGTCAGTTAATGCCGCCGTCCGATTGACTACAGAGAGATGGCAAGACGCTCAAGATTCGTCGCGCCCCGCGTTTCCCCGAGCCGTCGGTGACCTTAGGCCGCGTGGAATCTGACGCAGGTGCGAGAACGAGAACGAGGCCCAGCGGTTCTGGATCTTTGAGGGCAGCGTGCTGGTCACGGGACTCTTCAGCTCCCTCTCCGTCGTGTTTCGACGGAAGCACCTGGACCGCAAGATGATGGAGCGCATTCAGCAGCAAGTTGCAGCCGGAGTCTGATTACCCCCCTCCACGAGACGCAACGTTGCCCGAGTGCGAGCGCCGTTCAAGGAACCCCCGGTTTTGTCAATGGGCTTATTTATTTGGTCGGGGATGTAATAAACCCACTTTGCGGATGTCCGTCCCTTTAAACGAGGCTCCGATAAGTTGCGTAGCGACGCAACGAAAACGTCACTCGACGGCAGCACTGCATAACGTGCAGCCCACGAGTGGTTTTTGTGCAGCCCGCGGCTCCATCCTTAGCTCGCTAGCCCAAGAAGTGTGCGGGCAAAGCGTTAAATCAGGCTGAGTGCACATTAAATCGTTTGTGGTTGTTTCCACCACGTATGCGCACAGGCTTTTGGGTTGCGGCACATGATCACAACAGTTAATAATTGACTAGGTGTTGTCTAACCAGTGTGTTGTGCCATTCTCCGAAACAGGTATCAGCGAGGGAAATGCCACAAGTGTCGAACCCAATTTCGTTTAAAAGCTGAAATTCAATTGCTTTAGGAAGACATAAACCTACTTCACCGTGCACCATAAAGTACCTAGTTCAAGGACATTTCCTACCGGCACGAATGCCAATGTGCATGTCGAGCACACACACAGGCCTGCCAAAAATATGCTTTCGTTGCACCAAAGGGAGTAGCTAGTGTTTTCTTGAGTTCGTCCAAACATCACATATTTGCAGAGAATTGGGTCGTCGTAGTTGGTGAGAGTGCTACTCACCACACCACACAAAATGGAAACCCCGTAGTACTGAGTGATTGGCCAGAATAATCCTCTTTTTCTAAGCAGCAAGAAGATCGCAACATCCAGCGAAGTCTCGTAGCAGGAGAACATTGGAAATGCACGACTCCTTTCTATCATTTAACTCCAACATAGGTACATAATTTCTTTAAAAAAAAAAATCTTTTTTTTTTAGTTCTTACGACACTTTTTCAAATTTATTCGAATACATAGAACCATTTTATAGCATTTTCCTCTAGATACAGCATTCTGTGATGCATTAAGAAAGCAGAGCCGCGCACTTATGATTCTGGGTATTGTCAGAGTGTGGACAATAAAAAAAACCTGCAGCATTTTTTTGTTGCGCAGCAGCCCCACGAGTTTTTGAGTGAAATTTCTCTCGCCAAGCTAGATCTTGAGTTGTGTGTTCTCCTAAAACACCATTGGCAGTAGTACAGAGAAAGCTTTTCTCGACTTTGCTCCGTGGCAGCGGCGACGCTTCTTCGGCGTTTCACGCACACGTTGCGAGCACGGGGTAACACACCCTGGTTCGACTCGTTCATGTGCAGTGCCCAATAATATTGCAGCACACTGGTGTAACCAAGTTCATGTACAAGACAAAAGGTGGCAGGTAAATTCAACTCTCGCGACAGAACGTTTAGTCGACTTTACTCAACGACGGGACAATAGAGAGTTTTAGGAAACCGTTTTTGCACATCCGATTTGGTACGATGGGCCCTACGGTACAAACTGCAGATGCACTCCCAGAGAAGACTCGCATGTGTGCAATTCATACCTGAGGGCCCATCATTCCTTATTGGATGTGCAAATACGGTTCCCTAAAACTCTCTAATAGGTGCGGGGCATCCTTCGTGTGCTGCCTCCGGTAAGCAGGTGCAAGCAGCTCGCAAGACACCGAAAAGTGAATTAAGGTAAGCCTGCGTTGGAGGCGGAACAATTAAAAGGTGCTTTCATCCCGCCAGTGACCACAAGGATAACAGTAGAGGAGCGCCAATATTCCAAACATTGAACAACTGTCGAGACCGGTTATAACGAAGTCGGTTATAACGAAATAGTGGCTACAGCAAAGCGATCATGATTTCCCATTCCCTTTTGCACTTCGTCAACCGAAGTCCCTTATAACGATATAGCGAAGTGATTTCCGATTCCCGTTGACTTCGTTCTAACCGGTCTCAACAGTATTCACAAACAGCGTTCGCTATTTGACTCAATTTGCAATACTCTTTCACCGTGCCAATTATAAGAGTTTTGAGGATTAAACCTCCAGAGTTCATTCATTATTTTTATTCACAAATAGTACTGCCAATCCCTATCGGGGATCGTAGCAGGGTGGAAACTAACATAAAACAGGGTTAAAGTGACAAAGAGATACTCATTCAGAACACAAAGCGGAAACAAATGCACTTACAAAGTCTTCATTAGCAATTACGTAAGGAAGCGCAAACCATTCTACAATCGCGTCGACCCTTGCCGCCTCGCACCGGCATGCAAACGTTGGGCTTCGCCGCTTTCATGTAATGTGCTCGAAATAATCCCACCGTCCCAATTGCTGCAGAGGTCAAGATAGCGTATGATTCGGTTGGCTGCCATGCCAGATACGTTCCCCCTTCTCGGATCTTGACCAGCCGCTGATGACGCCGCACCTCTTGAACGCAGGAGAGGAACAACAAAGAGGTGACCATAGTCATGTCCTAGAAGCTCCTCGAGTCGCGGGCAACGCGGAACCGTAGGGAAAACTCTGTCGTCATGCCTCCAGTGCGAGCTTTCTACCCAGCATGTCATGACGAGCGCAGTGCAAGCACACGGGAAAGCCGGTATATGCGATTTTCTCGTCGAGCTCCATTGTGTTTGCCGCATGGGGTGGAGATCTACCAATGACGATGTATTGAGTGGGCCAGGTCTTCTAGGTGATAGGGTTACAGGATGTATGTAACCTTCGTTCTTAGTTGCATGCACATGTCTGCCCGACAAGACGTGTGTTTTCGATTGGAAAAGGTGCAAAAACAAAAAGAACTTGCGACTCTTTATCTGTGGATATCAGCCGTCAACTGGCGGATGCGGATAAAAATGAATAAGATATTGCAAATCGGATGCAAATGCAAGGGGCTGCGGATTAGATCTGGATATCCGCGGGTCCAGATTTACATTTTTGCCGAGGCGGCCCATAAACCTGTGCAATTTCAGAGCACAGAGTGAACAAGTGAATAATACTATGAAGTGCATCATTGAATGTCTTGCAGGAACAAAATACTCTTATAAAAAAAAAGGTGCCAATTGGGTTGAAAATTTTTCTTTGCACCAAGGAACACCCAATTCTCACCAAAGATCACTTTAGAGCGTTCTATCTTGCCAAAAATGCCGTCCCTAGAAAAAGTAAAGAATGCAGGGGTAACAATCGTTCCGGGAAAGCGTGTTCTTGTTTGGCAAGGAGGGAGTGGAAAAAGTTTTTTGAGCATAAAATAAAACCATGACGTATAGGCCAGAAGAAAGTAGAAGCCTCACCACAAGTAATGTTCAAGTTCCTGTACCTCAATTTTGTAACGCAATTCAGGCATGCCAACCCAGCATCAAGTGCACCAGCAGAGACACTTCTCATTGGCGCGGGCCTTGCGATTCAAGAGGCGAATCAGTATGAATCCATCCACCATTGACGATATTGTTTCTACACGGCAATCCCGACAGGAAAAACGCAATGTGTGCGTGCATTTTTTGTTTTTTTCTCTACAGTTGGCAAGTTGCTGGTTCGGATCACGCAGCATCGTGTTCATGTTTAAAATTGAAACCGATAGGTGTTGCTATTATTGAATTTTATATTTTTCATGTGGCTAATTATGTCATTCCACATCACTGCTGTGAGTGACTGCTTTTCCCCTCCTACTTCTTTATTCGACTTTAAAAAAATGACACAATGTAATTAGTCTATCTTCTGTTGATGTTCATGTTTAGAAAATATGCATCTCCTTAAAGTGGGTGCTACGAAGCAAAAAGAAAAAATAATAAAAATATTGTTCTTTTAAGCGCATGTCTGGGCCTGGGCAGTGTCGCAGACTTCCACGACTATCTCATTACTGCGATCAGCTCTGCAGCAGTGCGGAGTGTCCCTGGAAGAATTACCACTTGTAATATAAATATGATAAAAGAATAAAATGACTGTCTGTATTCAGGCTCGAAAAGATTTTTTTTTTTTTTTTTACAAAGGCTTATAGGGTTTCGTGTTTTCGGTTTTTATTTCTTCAAAATTCGGCATACTTTTTTCAATGTCCATTTTAAAATTCAATTTTCGTTTTTTTTTTTCGGTGTATATTTATTCCCAAAAAGGTTTACCGGTTTCTTTCGGTGAATATGAAAGAAACACCATCGGACACCGGATCAGATGATCCTTGTAGCTGCGATATTTGTGATCACTCGAAGAATAACGGCACATACACATGCATGGTCTTCGCTGCAACTTCCGTCAGGACACACCTCAAAATCGTGGAAATAATCTTTAGCGCGCTCTTTTTTCCTTCCCATTCTGATGACGTGACCGCCCAAAATGATGACCGTACAAAAACCAGCGAAATGGCAAAAAAAAAAAAATCCATTGTATTTATGTTGTCAATCACAGGGAAGTTTGAGAGAGGGTAATAAGAAAGGCTTTCCTCGATGTCCTCTAAAGTGCATGAAGCTAAAAAACCTCATACTAGCCCACATCCAAACTTTTTTTTTTTTTTTTGACCAGGAACCAATCACAGAAAGGACACAGATGTCCCGCAAAGGCCAATCCAAGACCTCTTTTGTTGCATGTTGAACCTTGGAAAAGGGCAATCACGAAGAGGTCACACAATGTCAAACCTTGCAAAGCCCTCTCTCTTTCTCCCTCCCTCCCCCACCAACCTCGACACGGCACTAAAAACTGACCTTTTTCGGTTAAAACCAAATTTTAGAAAACAGATTAGACATACTTTTATCAGTTTTTATTGGTTTAAACCGAAAAAGCCGAACCTACAAATTGACTTTTTTCGGTTAAAACCGAATTTCCGAAAATGGGATCGGCATACTTTTATCGGTTTAAACCGATAACTCCAAACCCTACTTGTAGACCAACACGCGGCCCCGACATCACGCAGCTGCGGTGGCGCTGTCGACGGCACTGCGCATGCGCAGACGCTTGACTTTACGCGAATTCGGTTTCTGCGCACGGGCAGTGCCCACGCGCAGTGCCCACGCCTGGTGTGGGCAAACGTGGGCTTGTTTGTAAACAGCGTGTCGGTCTATAACAGGGCTGGCCAAGCTGCGGCTCCCGAGCCGCATGCGGCTCTTCGCGTGTTAAAGTGCGGCTCGCGGCTTCCTCCCCTAGCCCCCCCCCCCCCCCTTCCCCGGGCACATGAGCACTTCCCCAAAACGAGAAATGAAACGCGTTTTAAATCAAAAGACAGGTTGCGGTTTGGCAGTCTTGTGCTACTGCTACCTTACGTACAGTTTGAACTCGGATAGATTGAAAGTAATTCGAGATTCGTTTATTGCTCTCAACAAAAGTTTGCTGCGCCCCCCCCCCCCCCCCCCCCTCCCTCCCCCGCGGCTCTTGGAAGTTCCGTGGTTTTGTTTGCGGCTCTTAGGCTGGGCCAGCCTGGCCACCCCTGGTCTATAAGGTACCATCCAGATGCCTTTTTTATTTACGCTAGATTTTACGATGTAAAATAAATGTGTGAATTGCGGGTCGGATGCAGTTCAGATGCTGGTACAAAGTATGCAGATGCCAAAATTTAAAGAACATTGCGGATGCAGTTTGGTTGGGGATAGAAAGTCCGCAAATGCGAGTCTGATGCGGATGCCCGACCTGCTCTCCGCGCAGGGCTCTCCTCATCTATCGCGGCTGTAGGTAGACTCCATCGCACAACGAAGAAAATCTAAAGTCAACCCGCTTCGTCATATGCACTCCGCAAAGTCCGTAACGTTGCAGGACCTGCGATGTTACGGGCCACCACAGAGCCAAGTAAACCAGAAGACCCCACAGAAAAGGAAACCACTCCCGTGCAGTGCACACTTTATTACACAAATGCGTGGGTATCAGATAAAAAACAGGCAACAGCCATTCTTATAAACAGGCTAAAAAACTCGTATTATACCTGCCTTTTGGCAGCAAACATTTAGAACAGGGGTTCTCAAACTTGGGTTTTCCCCTAATTTACCGCCCCCTAGTTTAACCTTCCACGAACTGAGCCACGGATCGAATTTGTGTTGAAGGCAAAGCAACCTCGCTCTTTGCACTAATACATATACATATTTTACGCTGAACCCCAGGTTAAGCCTCATGCCATCTTATTCTGTCTGTAGCCCTCAGTTTTGTTTCATTTTGTCAACGCAACAAACTCTCCTTCGCTATCTCAATGCCTTTATTGCCGAGTGTTATCGGTTGGCAACAAGAAAGGTTCTTTGGGACTTTTTGGGGCTTACTGGGGTTCCCTGGTACGAAAATGTTTGAGAACCCCTGATCTAGACCGCAAATGATGCGCACCTAAACATCGGCATCCACGCTACGATAGCACGAAAGCTCTAGACGTCGACTGCGCGGTGGCGGGCAAAACTACTAGGACGACTCGTCGGACGAGGACTCTGCGTCCGAGGAGCTCAGCGACTGCGTGGTCTCCGACCCCATGGACTTCATTTCGGTTGCGGCGGCCGGAACGAGACGCTCGACGATCGGGAGGGAGGCCTATAATGCGAGAAAAACCCAGAAACTCGTTAGTGCGCCAATTTATCGATTTCAAAGCAACACCCAACAGACCTTCTGCTACATTATCCGAGCGCAGTTTGGGTGCAAATAAAAATCGCGTAAACCGACCAATGAGCGTAGCGCAATGGAACTCTTCGCAAAGAGGTCTTTAGGCGGTGTATTTATTGTACTCAAATTTCGTAAATGTAGGTTTCTTAAAAGCAAAAAAATAATGCAAGAGACAATACTTTTGATACTTTCTATGCAATGGAAAAACAATATATATATATATTTCCTTTAGCACACAGGAAAGACCTACACTCACCAAACTTGAATATGATAAATGCACCACGTAAAGATATCTTTGTTAAAAGTTTATTTATTGGCTAAACAAATTTTTTTTCACACTCTGCCAATATAACAACCCATTTGACGTGGCAATTTAAAGTGACTGTGTTAGGTTAGCATTGCTTGGGTATAGGAAATAAATAAACCTTTCTTCTCCTCTAAAAAGAAAGTGCCTCTGGCTAAAAGGTGCTTAGCACAGCCACATCGAATGTGTCTGCGAACGGGTCTTTTATATTGTGAAAGACTGTACCTATGTTCCCAGCAGTCTCTTCGGCGCTTGGGAATTGGGCAAAGCGTCTTATTCATTTTCCCCTACAGAGTCGCGTATTCGCTGAGAAAAGCTAGGTTCCTGATCGGCGGTTTTAGCCGATCGAGACTTGTTCTCGGCCGCAAACGGTTTTCCCGGATGCAGGAGGGGCCTTTCTGTCGTGTTTTCGTATCAATCTAGGCGAGCATAAGCGCTACTGAATCTTCAACAGTAGGAAACACGAAAGGAAAGTAAAGGAAACGAAACAGCACGCCGCTCCAGCATCACGAGCAACAGTGCGTCCTTGTTGTAAGTCCCGGCCAGACAAGGAGCAGGAAATTAACCAATATAAGAAGGCCATTGTTAAATAACAATGGCCATTGTTTCGTCAAAACGTAGGCGCACACAAGGACCTCGTCAGAGGCCGCTAAATGCGCTCGGCCGCCGAACCTCTCTTCCAAATGGTGGGGTAGCACTGTCCGCAAGGAGATTAAAAAGTTTAAGGGGCTTGATCTCTACAATAGAGTTGAGGTGCACAGAATGTGAGATGGAATTTTTGTGCTCAACAGGTCTTCATTTGTCATTTCTGTTCAAGTCAAGACTAAAGCTTAACGGGAGACATTTCCATGCTAAATTAAGCGGGGAAATTGAATTGGCGCATAAAAACACGCAAATTCAAATTTTTGCATTAATCTTAGTGCTTTGCCACTTCATTTAAACGGGAAACTGAATTGGCACAACATTATGCACCAATTTGCTTTTTTTCCATAAATTTGAAGGGGGAATAGTATTGGCATATAATTATAATCATGTTTTCCCTGCAAAATTCAGCAGGGAAATTGGGCACTACACTTCTGTGTTCCACTTTTGCAGGCCCGTTCACACACTTGCAACCGAGTAGGACCGACAGAGACAAAATCGGTTTAGGCTTAAAAACCGGTATTGTCTCTGTTGGTCCTACTAGGCTGCAAATGTGTGAACGGGTCTTTACTTTTGTGCATGCTTCTCTTACTTTGCACTACACTTTTGCATTTCGCTTTTGTGTAAACTTTTGAGCTGAACTTTTGTGCAAACCTTTGTGCCACTTTTGCATGAACAGTTACATTACTTCCGTGTTACATTACTTCCGTGAAAAAGTGCCTTACGAAACCCAAGCCCCGAACACACATCGCAAGTCAAAACTCACCAGCCAGCTGAGACCGAGTGACGTGAAATGGCGAATGGAGTATTGCAGTTGCGTCGCCTGCTGCTGGAGGGCGCCAACGGTCGTGGAAGTGAGCTCTCCTATGTTGTTCACGCCAGTGATCGTCTGCAGCATGTCGGAGGCGGACGAGAGCAGACGGGTGTAGGCGTCCTGAGCCTGGGCGGACATGCCACGCACAAGAAGGGCTGGCTTCTGGAGGGCTGCCGTCAAGGCGCTCAGGGCACCTTGTGCGGCTTCCAAGATGTTCTTCTGAAAATTCTGAGGGAGGAATAAAATTTTTAAAGAAGATGAAAAATATTATGAATGAAATATTAAAAATATGAAATGTCCATGACTTCACGGAGTTTGCCCCTCTACTTCAGGGGCTGCAAACCCCCCCCCCCCCCCCCCCCTTTTTTTAAATTATGCATTCGGTATACGTTCGATTGTTTGGCATTTAAAGGGGTAGGGAAACGAAATTTCAGCGCTCATTTTCTGGCTTTAATGTGTTGCATGTTGCACACTAACCTCAAAAACACCAGTCTTCCGTTGAAAAGCACAAGAAAACTAATTTTAAAGCTAAATAAACAATCTTCAATGTGCACCTGGTGGATGCATGCGAAGCCTATTTGGGAGGTAGTCTAGCAACGTTGTGGAAACTGCTACGTAGTCGTGACGTAGCAGTTTCCTTCGGAGCAGCGCCGCTCTTTGGTATTTCAACATTTTCCTTCTTAGCTTTCCTCCTCAACTCACAAGTCGGGCATTTCACCAAACGGTTCAAGAAGACGGAAAGGAAGGACTCCCCTCTTTCTCGGACCCTCGTTCGTGCAACCGGACATAGCCATTCTCCCCCTAGAAGATTAGCACGTCGCTCAAAACTCGAACAAAAGTTGCTTTCCCCACCTCGTCAGCCCTAAGCTGACAGTGTTGTGGAAGCTACGTGCTCCTTGCGCCAGCCACACGCTCGTCATTCCACGGGCACTTCGAGCGGCTCGGTTGTAACGCGCCGACGCTATTGACACCATCACAACGCTGACAACGCCACCAAGGGCAAAGCTCATAACCACGCCTGCCTTGCTACTCCACGAACGCGGGAAATCTTTTCTTTCTGTTTTTGTTTGCGCCGGATATCCCATGACGCATCGCGCTCTCCGTTCGCTTCTCTTCGAGCGCTTGCTCGAGTGCACCGTTTGGAACGAAAAATATGGCCAATCGTTCAAAATACAAACGCGCGATTATCATTTACGGTTATTATACGTCATGCTTGACTCATTTCCGAACGAAATCTGAATATTTCAATTTTTGTTTCCGTACCCCTTCAAGGGGTGCTTTTCAGCAAAGCACCAGATATGCATAGGTGCCCAGGTATGCATGAGCACCTTGTTAGGACTGTGTTTACTCCTTTTTCTCAGCCATGGCTAAGTAGGGGGTGGCGAACCGTAGATGCACTCAGAAGTCACCTATCCCTCCCAACTTTCCCAGGAACTCCATGGCCAGAGTGGTAGAATTTTCCGGCTAAATTTTAGGCATATGCCCCCGCAGTCTATCATCATTTCTGCTTTTAGTTCCCTCGCATGGCTAGATGCATTGCCTGCAACATTTGCGTTAGGTTCGTATGCTCTCGTCCCCCTGAGAAAGTGTATGGTAGTATTAGATACTCCGCGATGCCACGGGAACATCTAACATCCAACAAAAATTATGAAGACATCTTTTTATTTTTAAAACTTTGCAAGCCTCCAGTTACTCTACCTGAAGCACACTCTTCCAAAACTGAAACATGGTAGAACAATCATGACGTCGCGCGTTGGCACTTGGCCACGACTCACCACTCCGGATTCCGACGTGTTGTTGAGGAGGTCTTGCAGCCAAGCCGACCCGAGGCTCATCTTGGCGAGAGTCTCCTGAAACGGTTGGTTAGAGGTGCCAAGGTGCTCCCTCATGTTTTCTATGAGCTGCAGCGCCACCTGGAAGCGGGTCAGTGAGTCGGTCGCATAGCGCTGGAGCGCCGCGAGCTGATTGGCCGCGTGCTTTGTGGCGCATGTCGTGGCCTTCTTGGAGATGCTGTCCAGACGTTCCACGAGCGCCAAGTGCTCCGGGTCGCGTGGCGTGGCCTTGGTCGCCTCTAATCCCAGAGAGGTGATGTGCTGCACAAACGGGCAAGTGTGCCATCGGGGAACGTCATACGAAGACATACAAAGAGTTTCACTATACCTTGTCTCACACTATGATGAACCACAGCCAAAGCTACGGGTTTCTTCGTCAAGTAGTGAGTGAATTAGAAAGCGTCTGGTACAGGGTGTGGCAACATGAACTGGCCCAGCGCCGCTTCGACTGGGGCGGCACAAAGGCCACGTGGAGAGCCACATGTAAGAAAAGTTGAAATAGACTACCGCACTTTCTATTGCTGGAATGTGGCAATCAATTTCACAGCTTAGCATGCTGAAGGCACCTCCCGCAGGATTTTACCCTTGTTGACTAACTGGGCCCGCTCGTGTTGCCGCCACCTGCACATGCATGGTGTTCTGGCGGAGGCTTTCAAAAATCCTAAAGAATACGGCAGTTAAGAAAAAAAATTAACTCTTTTCGGGAACAAACTGCCAGCCACAACGGACGTCAAGGATTGGAAAAAAAACTTACTAAATAGCTAAATAGAAAAAAAAATAATTTAAATTCAGATATTTCATACATCTAAAAAAAAATTTAAAATTTTTGGTCATCCCTTTATGTTTTTAACGTATTTCTTAGTGTCATTTACACTTTTCTTTCCCACGGCCCCATTGAGCACACTTCTTACCGAGCACCGGTGTACTGCGGAGAAGCAACACCCGTGGAGCTCGCTTACAGATGTGCTGCTGAATAAACTATCTCATACATTTCACCATCGCTTTATCTGTGGCATACCTGCTTATGATTAGTAGGCCCGTGTAGAGGAAACCATCAAATATCTGCTTTGTATGTGTAGCTATCCATATAACAAATCATAATTTTATCTTGCATCATATCTAGACGAATTTCTGATAATACAAACTTTCAATATTTAAAACTAAACTTGTGGCTTCCGTGACCTTCAAATAATGTCTACTGCAATTAACTTGTTATTTACTGAAAATAAACATATGGTTCACATGAAATACTTGCTAAACATCTACGAAAACCACTAAATCAACATTTAAAGATGCAAGGCAAAAGAAGCATTTTACTGCATTCCGAAAAAAAAAAAAAGAAACGCTTAATTTGGACATGTTTCTAGGTTTTGGTCTCTTATTGGAGCGCATCTTTGCATCAGCGGTCATGCTCACTGGCGGTAGAGGTGTGAAGCCTCCGCCTTGCCTCCCTTGTTAAGGTGGAGGGAGAGAAGTATGGGGTCCACGTGTGTGGCGCGCCTTGGCCACTGCGGAGCAGGACCGCTGGCGCAAAGATGCACTCCGACAGGAAACCGAAACCTTGAAATGCGTCCGAATTGGGCGTTTCTTCGCTACGCTGTAAAATGCTGCCCGTGTCATGTATTTTTTTTAAATTAGTTGAATTAGTGGTTTTCGATGATGCTTAACAAGTTCCTCCTTCGAACCATGTTTTATCTTCCCTAATTAAGAAGTCAATTAATAGACTTTCTCTAATCATTTAGCCGGACAGTACGTTTTTTTGTGAAATTCCCTATGTCCGCCGTGGCTGAAGAGTTGAGCAATCGTGCAAAAAGAGCACCAGGAACATTTTTCAAGCAGGCTGCACTCTAGCTTCTATATAGCATTTGGATCTCCTTATAGTGTTTGTAAGAAGAGCAACTCTACTGCACCCAGTGTACAAACCAGCACCTTAAGCGAATCAGAGCCACAAGTCGACAGGGCGCCAAAGTGAAAAATCGTGCCGTGCATCTACCCCAGTAGAAAAAAGTCATCATCATGTTGCGCACCCGTTCTAATCGACTGAACCAAACTAATTAGCGGAACGCAAGGTGACCTTGCACTTTTAGAATGTGCATTCATGTCTAAACATCTTGTAGCCTTTGGCTGTGATCCTACTTACAGTGAAACAAAGCATAGTTTCAATCGTTTTTCACGGTATCGGTTCCTCGCTAAAAGTGATCGAACGGCCCTTTCCAAATATTTGAGCAGGGGAGGGTAATGCATTGCAGATCACAACCTCATAACTCTGTTAGCATCTTATCAACTTTGCCTGCACCACTTTCAGGAAGCCTCCAGTTTCCCTCAAGGCAACACTTCTATTCGCACGGTGCAAGAAAACTGGATTGATTTCTTGCGATCAGACTGCGCAGGAGAACTCCAACTAGGCAACATTACCTGATCCAGAGTGGTTTCCGTAGCTTCAAGCGCCTGCTTCGTGTAGGTCAGGATCTGGTTACTGCACAGGGTCATTGTTTGAACCGGGTGTCCAACCAGCTGAATAGTGTCGGCCGAGGCAGTCTTGATACCGTTGATCTGCAACGAGTTTAATCATAGATGGTGACACCGGGCACGTACGACACGGCAAGTCCGAGAGCACTCGAAGCGATTGAGCACTGCTATCAGTGTAGCCTTTGAGACCGTCGGGATCCTGGACAAGATAACGATAAAGATCTGGGAGGCGTGGGCGGAATGCTTGAGAATGACTGTACTTGCAATAAAATCAGCAGAAGTCACAGGTGGTAGTTTGGCCGCTCCCCCTGCTTTAAAGTATTACAGTGAAAACCTCCTTGATGTGCAGTTGTTAACCTTTCAGTTATCAAAATATATAATACTACAATTTATAGTGCAATTTTAGAGAAAGAATGCTTATAGTTTGTTTTAGAATCAAGGTTTTGTGACATCATCCTAGGCACAAAATTCAAAAGGGTCATGCGAGAGTCGAAAAGACTCAACAGTTTTGCAGGTTTTGTAGTTAAGCACTCAAAATCAAACATGGGGTCAGGAATTTATTACCATTGGCAACTCTGTTGCTCGTAGTTACCGGATGTTCCAAGAATCTTTAGAATTCGATGAACACATAGTTTTTAAACTGAAGAAAAAAATTACGAACTTTGAACAGAAAGCAAGTGTTTAAATAAGCCTGGTGTAAACTGAACATAACTACTTCGCGTTTGTCCTGTCCCACTTTTTCGCCCCAATGTCAGGATTTCCTTTTTTTTTTTTTTTACAGCTCTTGATTTTGTTTTAAGTCACCAAAGACTGGTCTTGTGCGTTACATTCTGACACTACTTAGTAGGGCACGGCGTCAAAATCTACAATGATAACCTGCTGAAATAAGAAAGTGTCAAGTGTTCCAAGAATTATGGCACACAAGGATATCGCGCAAACAACAATTTTCTTAAGTAAACTGGTCCTGCTTTTTAGGGCAGGGCCACTCAAAATTGTTTTATCAACGGTATGTTGCCAATCATGAAAAGATGTACTCGCGATTTAAAAACCTTAGCACTAGGCACATGACGCAATCCGCCGTGGTACCGGCAACGGTATGACGTCATAAAGTGGCACAGACAACAGACGCCTCCGGCTACCGCTCGCATTAAAAATACAACCCCACGATAACACTCGTCGAAGGTCGGACCCAATCTCACCTTGGCAAAGCCGTACTCCTTGACATCGCCGTACTTCTTCCGACCGAAGTCCACGGCGTCCGCCACGATCTGCTCGGGCGCGTTCTTCTTGACGCCCGGATAAGCTTCCTCGAGCTTGTCGAGTCCCTTGCACGCCAGACCGTCCACGTAGTTCAGCGGGGTGCCGGCGATCTTGTTCACGACGGGCAGACCGCGCTCGACAGCCAGTGCCGCCGATTTCTCGGCGGTGTCGATCGCGTACGCCAGCAGTCCATTGCTACCCTTGACGCGGATGTAGGATTGAGCGGCGGTCTCCCAGGCGCTTGCGACCGCCGGCAACTCGTACAGGCGGCCGATGAAGTGGTATTGGGCGGCGGCAGCGGCGGCAGCCCGGGGCGTTTCAGTTACTTCCGGCATTGCCTGGTAGTTCGGGAAGGAAAAACAGAAAGCTTCACCGAAAGGCTCTTGCGTGGTGTGGGGCACAAAACTTACGGCAAAGTGAGCGATGCTTCCTTCGCTTCGGCTCGTAGTGCTTCCGTGCGAGACGACTCCGAGGGGACGTGAATACTGATGAAAGCACGAGGAAACTCGTCAAAGTGGCTTATGAAGACGCCGACTCCCTCTCGCCCTTCTCTGTAGCATTTGACGTCAGTTATCTTTCTTTTCCTCTCTCTCTGTACAGTGACGTGCTAGGAGAATCACGTGTCTGCCATGTGATGTTCGAGTAGAGCTTATTTTTAGCTGCGGCGAGCCTTTGTAATGACGGTACTGATCCAAACATTGTACGGCCTTGCGTAATGCAGTAAGTGTTCCTTTCTAGAGCTTCTAGAACTCCCCGAACTAGGAAGACAAGAGATATCGTGGAGAAAATCGAGAAAAACCGAGGAGAAAATTAAAAACCCGACGCCATTTTGTTTGACCGACTTGACTGGGCTTGACTTCGATTTCAACTTGACGAGCCACTAAAACGCAGCTAGAGAATACGAAAATAATTTAAAGCAATGTAATCAAGTGGTAACAAGAGTTAAGTATAGATGTATTTCTTTTTTAATTTTATTTCAGTTTGAATTGTGGCTGTAATTATGGCACTGTTTTAAAATTCGCACATAAAAAAAAGGACACGGTCGTTGTCGTCTGCTATCATTAGTCCTGAGTTTCATTCGCTTTATGCAGGCGTTCCGACGTGGTCTTTATTGATAAATATAGACTTTATTATCGCCAGAGAAGAACAAAACCTGCAAATAATTATCCACCTTCATTCAAAACAAAAAAGCTTCTAGAGGAGTGCGTCAACATGGAATCGCAGTATTTGAGGCAAGTCTACAAACCTGCGTGCTGAGACCGAATTGCCCATTTCATGTTGATAACAAAAATAATAATAATAATTAAAATAATAATGTGTTTTATTTTCCGTCAAAAAGTGTATGAGCTGGACGAGCCCCCGGCCCGCCATTCTTACATTTGGCAGCAGTGGCACAGAAAACAAAACAAATATGAACGTGAAAGAATATTCGCAGAAAAAAGAATACATGCAGGCAAAACACAGTTCAATACAACTAAGTAAGGCAATACATTTATGGTAGTATTGTTTCAAAGGTAAATATATACATTTGCTACACAATCATATTAAAAAAAAAAAAAAAAAAGATGGATGGTTTTTAAATGACGAGGTAGGGAAAGGCACGTTGGATTGTATTTTTGGAGCATCCAGTACTCCATGGGGGCTGTCTAAACTTTTAGGGGGGGGGGGGGGGGGGGGGCATTGAGAATAGATACCTTCAGGAAAACAAGGGGGGGGAGGGGGGGGAGGGAAATCACAGCCGTACTCCGTGTTACGGGTGGGATATGCGATAGCTCTTGGTGTTAAGGACACAAGTTCCAGAAATTATGAGCATTTTTTCTACATCTGATTTATTAGTTACACACCGTCGATATTGGTACAGGCAATTCACAGGCTTAGGTTTTTAAGAAGTGGCGTACTAGGATGCTCATATATGGGACATTATAAAAATGTTTCGTAAAAACCTTTTTTTTTTTTGGACAAGTATTTTATTTAAATTTGCATTTGTTGTATTTCCTCAGACTATACGGCAATAGTTTACATTGGGAAAAAGAAAAAGAATAATAAACTAGTAATTTCACATGTTTTCGTAAAGTATGGCTGTGACGGTATACCATGCCAACCAGGCGTGACAGATACATAATTCACATGTTCGTCCCATCTCATTCGAGCTTTGAAGATGATACCAAGTGTTTTAAAACTAAAAATAACTTATATTTTTTTGTTGAATTCAGGATAATATCGCTGGTAATATCATCATTCTTGTTCCTTGGACGAAATAAAATAGCTCTTGTTTTGCTCTCAATTAGAACTACTTCAAGTGTAACTAGGTCCTTGAGAGTTTATTTGCTTTAATTACTAATTCGTGACAGCAGTTGCTTGATAAAAATAAACTCGTGCCGTCAGCATAGATCATATATTTCATATCTGGGTTTACGTTTACAATATCATGTTAAACAAAAAAGACCCTAAGATGATCCCCTGCGGAACACCGAATAAGATTGGTGTTACATCAGAAGCCATTTATGGGAACATTCTGTTTTCGACGCGATAGGTATGACGTAATTAAAGTTGATGCATAACCAGGAAATTCGTACATTTCCAGCTTTCTGGTTAACAGATTGTGGTTTAAATGGTCGAATGCTTTGCTGAAATCGATGACACCTTCGCGTGATGTCTTTTTATCTTCAAAACTACGCAAAATGTAATCTTTTTTTGTCTTAAAAGAGCAAGTTCCATAGATCGGCTTTTGCGTAATCCAAGCTGTGACGAAATGATTATATCATGCTTATAGAAAATGTCACTAGGTGCGAATGAAGAATTTTTTCAAGGCCTTTTGAAAACACTGATAAGATTGATATCGGCATGTAGTTACCTATGCCATTCTTTTCGTTCTTTTTGTACAAAACACTTACCTTTGCAATCTGCATTCCTTTAGAAAAAATCCCGCGCTGTAAGCACAAATTATAGATATTCGTCAAACAGGGAGATATGATATCTATAACATATTTTATGGGACTTATCTGCATGTCGTCAGGGTCACAGCTTGTACTGTCTTTGTAGCGATTGAACTGTCCGCGTCACACTTCCACTTCTACAGCAGGCTCAAGAAAGATCGAGCTTACATTTCTATGCTCAATATAAGCGCAAGCGTTTTCGTTAGGGTTATCCCAAACTAAGTTTACAAAATAATCTGCTAGTGGTCGTTTTGTTAATTCTATGCCATTCAGATAAAGTTGTTTTTCAATTTGCTATGTACCGTGGAAACGATTTAAAACATTGTTTAGTGTTTTTTTTTCCTTGTCATGTCTGTTCGCATTGTGGAAGACATGAAGCAATTATATAATTCCTTGCCCTAGCATTCTTTAGTTCTTTTGTGAGTCTATTGCGGTATATTTTGAACGTTTTTTCTTTAAGTTTTCAGGGTCCCTATGTTACCATGAATATTTTTTTATAAAGCATTTTTTATTACTTTTTATTCGAAGTTCCTTACGACTCTTTTTCGACAGCCTAATAGGTTTATTGGATTTTTATATATGCACTGAAATTTATTTAAGAACAAGTTGTACACGTCGTCAGCTTCTAGTTCATCGTGAACTAGCTTCATTCCAGTCGAACTCTAAAAGTTTTGATCTAAATTCACCAATGCTGCTTTCTGCAATATTCTGAAAGGATATCCACAAAATTGGTTCCTCGTAGTTTTGACTTTTTTCTTTTTTTACATAAATAGATATACCCAGATAATCACTTATGTCCGTGCTTATTATCCCTGATTTTATATAAGCTAAGTCCAAATTCGTTATAAACAAGTCGAGCAATGTTGACGATTCGGCCGTGATTCGCGTAGGTGATGTAATTACTTTTGTACAACCACTACTGTTTAGTAACACTTCTACTTGTATTTTATTGGGTGTTTCCCGCAGCGTCTTAAAATTAAGATCTCCTCCCAAAATAATATCATATCTATTCTTGGTTGCAATCTAAAAAAGCAACAACAACAACAAAAAAAGATATCACGTTCCCATCCGGCGGCCTATAGATTACCGAGATAATAATTTTATCAACGAGCAAGGACAGCACTTCGTAATCTTTACTGACACATGAGTGTTCTTCTATTTTTTCCCCGCACATATTATTTCTAAGCATTAATGATACACCCCCTCCGCGTCCAATTGTTCTCTTAAAATGGTATCCATTATACATCGCTAGACTAAAAGCGTCAAGCCATCGGAGCGGCTGCTTTTGTACGAATTTTGAGTGACGGGTTAATCTTTAATAATCTCGTAGAGGGACAACAGCGACTTCTGGGACACACAAAAGATTGTCGGGGAGAGGAGTCCCTCCTTCCCCTCTTGTGACGGCCGGAGGCGAGACAGTTATCGTCATTACCTGTCAAGGATCCTAGACGGGCATTGCAAACGAGGCGTTAGCGACATCCACCAGGTGGCCTTCGCTAATCGTTTAATTCGTTTTAAAATTCCTTTTCGCGTTTTTTTTAACGAGATATTGGTGTGTCTGATGTGATACTGCTCCTCTGAACACATATCGACCAAAAAATAAGCGCCGAAATTTCGTTGTAGTAGCGTCAGGCAAGAACAATAGCACAGTTCCCCTCGAGTTTTGCAAGTCCATCTCGCATTTCCCAAGAATCGCTCTGTCTCAACCTGAGGCTGTGGTTTGAAAAACGGGAAATCGTGAAGTAGAAAGAAAAAGGGACAGACATCATCTCAAACTCAGCTAAAAACTTTATCGTTTTTAGCTGAGTTTTTAGCGTCACCACCGCACCTTCCGGGTGCGGTGGTGACGACCTTGTGTTTCTGTTTGTATAACGCTTTTTTATGTATTCATTGCGGTTCGGTATATTGTCATTCCGGTGTATTGTTTGTAGTTCAGTGATCAACCGTTGTGGTGGTAGCGACGTTAGACGTCCGGGGGAGGTGTATAGAGGCAATAAAGTTTTTAGCTGAGTTTGAGACGTTGTTTGTCCCTTTTTCTTTCTACTTCAAGTTTTTCCGTTTTTCAAATCACAGTCTCAGGTTTTCAGTCATCATGTATAACTTACACCAGCTCGCCTGCACTTTAAGCGTTTCTTCATTCCATTCTCTTATTTAGGGGTTCACGTGTGATCTCGAGGGACGAACTTTACGGCATTGAGGAGGAGCAAGATACTGATCAACAAATTCAGGAACCTCCGTCAAGGTAAATGTTTGTGCAACCCCCCCCCCTCCCCCCCCCCCCCCCCAAATAAAAATCCCTTTCAAAATTTCAAAACTAGGAGTTACAAAGTGAAAAACAAAACAAAAAAAAAAGAATTTGACAGTAGTAAAGTGGGCGAGTTGGTACTGGTTGAACGTAACGAAGAAAACAACGCACAAAAAGACGAAGACAGGGAAAGAAAAGGCACACAGAACAGATAAGCGTTTTTTGTCTGTCTGCCAATCAGTGTCTGACAGCACTGATAACATCTCAAAAACAGCTTTCCTTGATGATATGTCTTATTGTTTTGTTATTAAATAAGATCCGGTACATTAACCGCCCTTTACTCGGAGCAGTTAACAGTCAAGTCTATACATGCCTTGCACGTGACGTCACGCTAGGGAAAAATGGTGCCCTGCACCATACTGGCGAAGTACTTCACACTGCGCGGATACGGGGTTTGAGCATTCGATGACATTTTCCATTGGGTGCTGGGCAGTGTGCTGAGCCCCCGTGCGTTTGGCGCAAGGCCTACTGAACAATGCCTGCACCGTCCCCCCCCCCCCCCCCCCCACACACACACACACACTCCCCTCTGTGCTCCCATGAGTACGTGGCTTGTCCTTAGTCACGTACTTGGCTAAGGGAAAGCACGTAGCTCTGCTTTTGTTGCGGCTGGTTACCCATCAAATCACGGCACTGGCTTCGCACACGAAATTCCAGAAAAAAAATTACGACGTAGAGCAAAGTGTCAGTAAACCGCGGACGCCTCCCAAAAAATTTGAAAGAAAAAAAAAAAAGAAAAAAAGCAGGCGCCTGTGGCTCGCATAGCACAGTCAGGGAGATCTCTCTTCCCCTGCTTGGTCGTTCTCCTGAGACCCTCCCATACTGCACTCGCGGGTTTTCCATGCGGGGGAATGCGCAGCGCACTGTTTTTGTCCACCCAGCCAGCCGGCTTCTTTACTGTCCCAGGGAGCGAGCCGACGTCCGACGCGCCAAACGGCAGATAAATTTGTGAAGCCGCGATCTGAGGCAGCCCAGCTTCGAAGCCGCGCAAAAAGTCACGCAAAACGGCATGTATTTTCTCCATAGAGAAACATATTCGCGGGAACTAGTAAATCGTTTACAGTATAAATTTTCTCTAAAATTTCCTATTTTATCTGGCGGATGGAACATTCGAAAGTCTGACCCTATGACGTTTGTTTTACAGCCCAGAAGATGATGGCACCGACCAAGTCATTTACAACGTGATGAAACAGGTAAACTTTTGTTTCTCAAACTCTGAAAAACATCAAAATCTAAAACCATTTCTTTAAAATAATTTTCACAAGAAAGTTTTTAAGCTCTGTTGAGCGATAAAAATAAAAGACTAATTAACGTGATTCGTGTTTTTATTTTATATTACTTCAAACAATCTTAATTTGCTTCCTTTTTTTTTTTTTCTAAGCGTCATGTTTGTCTCTTTCTGTCCCATCGCTACCCACTCATCCGAATTAAAGACTAACTAAATATGGATAGCTCTGCCTACTTCCTAATCACTCTCGTTCAATCGTTATCGGCCGCGGATCCGAGTAAAAATAAAACGTACCCCATGACGCTTCTTTTATTTCCTTCCACGTGCTGCGATGCACACCATCGTCAGATTGAGGCTGAAATTCGCCACTGCGTCGAGACCGGACATCTCATGCCCACCCTTCTGCATCGGCGTCGGATTCGGCGCCGCAGGAACCGGGTTGCAAGGATCTCCAGGTCAGACGAACTCTGCATACGCCTATACTTCGTGTCACTAGTTCTGTGCAGTGCAGTCGAAGGCACCACGTGGCGAAGAGAGAAAGGGAGAGCCCTAGGAAGGCGAGACGAGAGAGGAGGGCAATAGAGGTCCAGGGGAGAAAGGAAGAGCACTGGGAACGTTAGAGAGAAAAGGAGGTTTCTCTCATCCTCCTTAGCCTTCCTAGTGCTTGCTCTTCCTCCCCTCTTCTGGCGTTGCCTTCGCCTGTACGGCATGCAACTCATGACACGGAGTGTAAGCTGAGACTGCGGTGGAAGCTTCGTCCTCGTTGGACCACGTCTCTTTTTCGTCACGTGATCACTCTTCTGCCAGGCGACTGGTTGTCTCTGAGGGCGCGTAGCTCGCACCACATTCAGAAGAGCGAGTGGAGTTTAACGAACGTTTATTTCTGCTAATTACACTTTGGTAGTGTCTCAGCAACGACGAGAACGGTCATCGATAAGCGCCGGTTCAAAATAAGGACCCGAAACATCGCTGTGGTCATGCTTGGAACCTATAGCTATACCTCGTTGCTTTGAGCAGTGGTTCTCAACCCCATCCGGATCGGCGGGGGTGATGGGGGACCCCATCTGTCCGGGAGGTATGGATGGGGGAATTCCGTCACAGAAGGGCAAATTAAGGGAACTAAATGCGTGCAAGGCAACTTTGCAGCCCTGAAACAGAAGAATCAACTCGCTCGGCGCGCATAAGGTGACCAGACGGTCCCGTTTTGACCGGGACAGTCCAATTTTAGAGGTGCATTCCTGCCGTCCCGTCATTGCATAGTTGCGAAATGAGTGCCAAGCGAGTAGATATAAATGGGTAAAAGATGCGTTATACATTTTATAAAAAATAAACATACAAAATCGTAACCTCTCATAGAGTAAATTTACAGCTTTTTTCTGTGGTTCCTTCTTTGAATGCGTTATGTTCGGGGCACTTTCTCATATCACTATATTTGGCATGCTTCGGTTTTGCTTAAAAATTAAAGAGAAAGGTCTTCGTGTACTCAACAAAACCAAGGACATTAGAAACGTGCATTTGTACAGTGAACTGAATTGTAGCGGAGCTTGCTCTTTTCCTTAGGCCCCGCTCCTCTCCGCCCCGCCCCGCCCCGTCCCTTCCCCCCCCCCCCCCCCTTTCTAATCTTTTTTTTTTTTTTTTTTTTTTTTTCGATGACCCGCTTTTTACGCTGTAGATAATGGTCACCCTCTCTATACAGCTTTGGGGGCAGCCATCATCAATAAAAATATTAGTGATCGGCTGATGGTCCGGGCTTCAAATGGAAGTCCCCGGACCCCTATTTGGGAACCAGTGGCTTAGAACCGCGACGGTACACCATTCCCCGATCATCTTGTTGTGCAGGTTCAAAACTGTGACTGTCGGGAAGCTTATCGTTTTTCTCGGTTGTAAAATATCTTTTTTTTTTTTTTTTTTACATTTCTGAAGGATCGTTTTCTGCGATTTCATATATAAAGCTCCAGATAACTGGCAACCATTATTATAAGCACCAAGACGGCTTTCGGACTGGCTCTAGATTACGAATAGTGCCTCTTCATGAATGGCCAACGGGTGATCGTGACGGCACAAAATGGTGTTACCGGTACTTCGGTTAGAGCAGCCAAGGACATTAAGCACAAAAAACCGGCAGTAAAAAGAAAAAAAAATTAAACTGTTCTCTGTTTTGTGTCGTCGACGATAAAGAAAGCGTTAGCTATATACTCCTCGCCTGATAACCCCACATCGCAACGCAGTTTTGGTTTCCGCGCAGCACTCAAACCAGCTCTTAACAAAAAATTGCGGTGGCTTAGCTCGGCTATGCCAGGATATACGTATGGCGTGAGCTTATGCACAGAAAACGAGAGGCGCTATCAGGCGGCTCCGGTGCAGCGTCAGACCTGGCTACTGCGCAACGGAGGCGCACAGCTGGGCACGCGGCGGCGCCAGTGCGTCTGCCGCGGCTATGATATCACTCCTCTGGAATGCGCAGACCGGCGAGGCGGGCGAGGCGGGCGCGGCGGCGGTGGAGCGCGCGGCGGCGGCTTCGCGTGGCTCTCATAATGAGCCGTGCTCATTATGCATCCTCATTATGAGAGCCACGTGAAGCTGCTCAACCTCGGCCAGTGTAGCTAACGCTACAAAAACGCATAGGCGGCTCTAAACAGGCCCGTCTTCGCTGGTCGTCACGCACAGATCACGCGCCCGACGAGTAGACCAACTAGCTGAAAACAAAATGGCGTCCTGATTCGTCGGCTTCTACATAGATGCCCGCGGGAGCAACCGAGGGACCTGACTGAGAGCGAAAACGGTGACCAAAACAGCAGCCGTCCAGCGCCTCTCCGCTGGCCCGACTGGCCTGTGACGCCACACGCGGTCAGCGTTCGCCGAGGCATGCGGGCGCAGCTGCCGACACCGGAAGCGTTCGACGACACGCGGCTGCGGCAGGCGTACAGTACCGTCGTCTGGCGGCAGAGGGCCGAGAGGTTTCACGTCGATCTGGTAGGTAACCTTCGCCATCCATCCATCCATCCATCCGTTCACGACCCACTGATCTCTATGACAATTGCTGGATCGCGCTTCCCCGCTTGTTCGCTGCAGCGCAAGTGAAGCCACCGGGCTTCACTCGCTTGGGATACGATTTGCCGTTTTTGCTAGCCTTTGCTGCGGTTTTCCAGCGTGCTGACGTCACGTTTTCTACTCGTTCGTCGTCATTCGCCGAAGAAGTTTTTTGAAGACTCTGTGTATTGTTGAGACTTGCCGTTGTGAACACGTGGAAAATTTTACGAAAGTGCAATGTCGCAGGAAAAAGGCACAACGCGTCGAAAGGAAGGGCTGGCGGCGTGTTCAAAGCTTCCTTGGCACGCCGAAGTGCCGTGTCTCTGTGCCTTCGCACGCTTGGATACCGACCAAGAACCGACGCCGTGTGTATGTGTTCAGCGAGTGCAATGTGCGTGAAGCTGTTCGTGCCTCTGGATCAGCGTCTTTTCCTCTCGCGGTTTAGGAACGAGCTTAATCCAGCGTCCACTAGCGACGGAAGATGGGGAGAAGGTACGTCTTTTTTTCGTCCTTAGACGATTTACACAATACCGTGCACAACAGCTCCTCATCACTGATCAGTGCTGGCTTATTATCAACCTACTTAATTGCACTTGACGTTTGAGCGCGGCTCGCCTAATTGTAATTGGTCAACAGATTGCACACGACCATGTCGGCCGCGCTTCAAAGATTTTCATTCTCGCCGTCTTGTACTTTTGCTTTCGAAAACCCCCCTGGCTCCACAACGTTGCCCTATTCGTGCTCCCACGGAATCTATTAGAGTAGATTTGGGACATAGCCATGGTTAATATAGTACATAAGAACACGTACAGATCTCCCCCTTTTATTGATAGCAACTCACCGGAACAGCTGGACGATCCAGAACTCCGTGGCCGATATATATAAATGATCTAAAGGCATCTACGCGCGACACACGTTCAGAACTTTGGCGCGGCGTCAATTCTTGACCGGTATCCAAGCGTGCGAAGGCACAAAGATGCATCACTCGGCGTGCCAAGGAAGCTTTGATCACGCCGCGACACCGGCGACACGTTTTCGACGAGTTGTACTTTTTGATACGGCTTCACGCACATTGCACTCGCTAAACACATTCACACGGCGTCGGTTCTTGGTCGGTATCCAAGCGCGCGAAGGCACAGAGACACTGCACTTCGGCGTGCCAAGGATGCTTTGAACACGCCGCCAGCCCTTCCTTTCGACGCGTTGTGCCTTTTTCCTGCGACACTGCACTTTCGTAAACTTTTCCACGTGTTCACAACGGCAAGTCTCAACAATACACAGAGTCTTCAAAAAACCTCTTCGGCGAATGACGACGAACGAGTAGAAAACGTGTCGTCAGCACGCTGGAAAACCGCAGCAAAGGCTAGCAAAAACGGCAAATCGTATCCCAAGCGAGTGAGGCCCGGTGGCTTCACTTGCGGGAGCGGCAAGCGCGATCCAGCAATTGTCATTGAGATCAGTGTTCACGACCCGTCACGTCACGTGGTGGTGCTGCCGACGGCACGGCGCATGTGCACACGCTTTACCTATTTAACGCGACTTTGGTTTCTGCGCACGGGCACTGTGGCTTCCTGTCGTTTTTGCCGTCCCGCAAACACCAGGGCCCGCTGTGGCGCCCGTGCGCATTAGCGACGTATTTGATGCGGAAGGCGTACAGATGGGAAAGACAAACCTACACGATGAACTACAGACAAAGCTACATGCTTTGTCTGTAGCTTTGCCTACGCAACTGAAAAGAACGTGGTGTATATCGTCGGAGCATATACCACGTGGCTGCAGGATATGTCGGCTCGTACGGCGCCTTGCACTGGAGTTCACTCCGGCGGTGCGAATTGTCACATGCCTTTTCTCGGACGCTCTTATGAACTCGCTGCAGGGCCGTAGCTTCCGCCATTTGCCAAGTTATGCTGAAATGGAGTATATAGAAACAGAGGGAGAGGAGGAGGTGAGAGCGCGCGGGAGGTCAGAACGCCGGTCAGTGATTGGTATGATTAGTGGGTAGACCTAAAGCTATGGCTGCCTTCGATTGTCTCCACTGCACTGGCCGAGAGCGTTAGAACGCGGGACATCGGCATCCGGCGTTTGGCTCTTGTATTCGACGAGTGCAGTGGAGACAAAGGCAGCTAACTTTGGGTCCGCAGTTTTGATCACCGTTGCCGCTCTCAGTTCTCCGCTCATATTCACCTTGTTTTCACCCGTATGGTGTCATGCAGGATGTGGAAGATCCTGGCGTACAAGATGCCATGCTGCGCATGCAAGATTTCGCTTGCGTGTAGACATCCGCGGGAAATCCCACGTGGACCAAGCGCTCTGTCCGATTATCCTATTCATTCGTCAGTTACTTTGTTTGAGTCGGTGTATACACTTTACCCCTGTATTTCGATGTTTTCAGAAGCAGCGTCTTTTGTGAACCAATAAAATGACTGCGACGTGCGATATGCGAAACTGTGCGCGGATCCTTCTACTTTTCCCACTGCATGGGACAAGCACCCAAATAGAGTCTCCATAGTATATATCACAAGGCCTTCATTTGTTTTCTACTACCTTCATTTATAATCTCTCTCTCTCACACACACACACACACGATACTTTGCTTTCTTACTCCAAGTGCTCTAAAAAAATATTCAATCCTTTACAGTTTGAATCTTTTTTTATTTTTTATTATTACGACACTTTATCGAAAGGTAAAGCTATTGTCGGCAAACCGCCAGTGCACTCAGGCTAGCGCTGCCTCTAGGGCGTTGTCGATTGCGTTCCTCCCGAAGTTGGACTTCCCTTGCAGATCAAGGTTCAAGGTAAGTGAACCTTTCAGCTGAAAATCAGCCGAGTCTTGGGCACTGGGCGCCTTCTTACCACCTCCGACGCTCGAGTCATCGGATTTCTCTTCGACCAACAGCCCACGCATGATGTACTGATAGAGACTGCCTAGCTTCTCAAGCCTATCATAGAGCTGAGCCGAGTCACTGGCGTTGGTGGGCTCCTTCGATTCATCAGAGGAGCTGCTACTGCTATCGCTGTTGGCGTCGTCATTGCTATTCGTTTTCTCACTGCTCCAATCCCCGTCTTGGCTCAAAATTTTCGGGACGAGGTTTTCAACAATGGACAATACTTTGAGTATGTCCTCTGCGGTCAAGTCGGGCTCGTGGAAGGCGCTGTAAACCGCCTGGACAGCGCGCCTCGCTTGCGCACCGATATCATCATGTCTGAAAACGTACCCCTTGAGCATCGCCATCAGTTGCCCCAGCTTCACTCGCACGTCTTGTTGCTTCCCATCGGCTTCGCCTCGAAGCCCCGGATGCTGCTTCGCCATGCTGAGCAACTTGTTGTACGTGCGTACTCTCTTCTGAAAGTAGTTTTCCTCTGGTTTCTCGTTGGGTGAAATGAGGTGATCGAACATCCTATTCAGAGCCAGAAGTCTACGTTGGTAGCTTTCCACCATTTCACCGGTGATACTCTGGCCCTCTGGGTCACTAGCGATCTTGTTTTCGTCTCCAGAGGCTACATTATCCGACACCTTATCGACCAAGCTTGTCGGAAACAATTTCTGGTCGTTGAGCTCTGCTGCCGCCTTGAACGTAGAGGGTTTGTAATCGACGACGTACCTTTGAATTCCACCTAGCGCCTCCGGACTCAAGTCTTCAATCCTTCGTTCGGCGTTCTTCTGGTCCCGAAGTTGGTCCCTCAAAGCTCGTCTTACATAGCTCCTTTTCGGTGCTTGCTGCGGCCCAGTCTTCTGGCCAGGACTACTTGGGCCCACGTTCTGTTTGACGCCACCAGAGCCCGAGGTCGCATAGCCCTTGTTATAGTAACCGGGATTGAAGGTACAACAGTACCAAGGATAATAGTACCTGTTGTTGTAATAGTAGTAGTTGGGATAACTTCCCCCACCTTGGCCACCGTATGGGTACGAGCTACTACCCGTGTATTTCCCAGTGGAATATCCGCCGGAGTAAGGGTAATTGTACGCACTGCCACCGTACGAAGGATAGTTTGGATAGCTGGTCGGGTATCCTGATCCGTAATACCCTCCGTAGGAAGGATAGCTTGTATAACTGCTCGGATATCTTGATCCGTAGCTGCCGCCGTAGTATGGATAACTTGGAGAGCTAATCGGGTACCCTGATCCATAGTAGCCGCCCCCGTAGTAGTTAGGATAACTGCTACCATAAGAAGAGTAAACAGGGTAAGGGTAGCTAGGATAACTGGCAGGAGGGCTTAAATTGCTGGTCCCGTAAGAAGGATAGCCTCCAGAAGCACCACCGTAGCTACTAGGATACCACTGGCCTCCGTAGTACGCCCCCGGTCCCGAAGGATAACCCTGGCTGTAACCACCGTATCCGTACCCGCTATAATACGGGTACCCACTCCCGTAGTAAGGGTAACCTCTTCCGTAGCTAGGAGGGTATCCTCCAGTGCTGCCACCGCCAGAAGGGTAACCGGGACCGTAGCCTGGGTGTGTGGGGCTCTTCCGGTAGTAGCCCACGGCGATGTAGTAGGGTTGCCAACCGTTGCCACCATAGTAGGGATGAACAGATCCGTAGCCTGTGCTTGGAGGAACTACACTCGTGGGCCAGTAGTTCGAAGAGCTACCGCTGGGTTCGAATGACGGGCTCCTCTGGAAACCCTTCCACCAATCGTACGTGGATGTGGGAGGACGGTAGCTTGGACGATGGTACCATCCGGGCGGCTGCGCTGCCCCTGGTGTGTACTGGTGAGTTGGGTAGCGGTTCCAGTTGGTCGGATTGTAGCCTCCTTGCGGTGGTCTGTATGAAGGCGGGTAGTAGGAGTGGTTCGGGTTCAGCATTGACGGCGTCGGGACTGGAGGAGTCCCTTTTGAGGGTGGGGTTGGAGTGACCGGAACGACCGTTGTCGTTTCGGTGGCATCCGTAGGGACGGAGTCTTGATCTTGAGCGAACGTCTTTGCAATGCAGATGAGCGTGGCTGTGGAAAAAATTGATGTTGGTGAGAATCTACCCGCGTGATCGTACCTCAAAGTAAGTATACGTCACAATCAAGTTTCAAGGTAAAAAAAAAATAAAAAATAAAATGGCGAGCTCGTAGACGGTTTGCATTCCGTGAAACGGCACATTACACTCACCATGTTACTAATTGCTGAATCATTATTCCAAATCGCATATCGACTGATGTGTAAACCTATCCGTACAAGGGGGGGGGGGGGGGGGGGGGGCGGGGGGGGGAATCAAGCCTCCAGCTTCAACCCTTTTTTGGACGTATGTATGTAGCTTTAGCCGACATGACATTGAAAAAGAAATAAACTGCAAGCGACTATATTCCTTTTCATTTCAAGAACTGCAGTAAAAAAAAAAAAAAAAATCTTGCCCCTTGTTGAAATTGACTAATTTCCCCCTCTTTGTGGACAATTAAATTAAGATATATGTAACTGCATTTTAGATTAGATATGCGTTATCTCATTAAGACGCTCGCGTTTCAAACTTCAAAACCATCGCTCCTTCCTCCGACTACCAAATCTTGTAAAAACAGCTCGTCGCCCCCCCCCCCCCCCCCCCCCCCCACCCCCCCCCCCTGGCTTGAACAATGCACAGAACTTTTTTTTTTCTTGAGATGAAAACGAGTATAGTTCGAATAGAAGAAAGATGAAAACTAGAACCGTATAATATCTGAGCGACGTCAACTACCCACCTAGCAGAACTGTGCTGGACGGCAGTGTAGGTACCATGATGCCGTTTCCTGGTACAGCCGAGCGCAGACTGAATAGCCGAGAGAGCTCCAAGACTCGAGAATTTTTATCTAACACCATCTGGCCTATCGGCAAACACGGCCAGCTCCACATTTCCTCGTTTTTATTTCTATTCTGTTTACGCTACTCTTTTCCTCGAGGCTTCTGTGCACACATTTCGTGACAGCGGCACCGCCAACAGCCACGTGATTCTGTGTCCCAGTTGCTTATTGGTCGAGGTCAAAACGACGCTACTTTTGTTCTCCGTAAACTGTCGTGGAAATTATACCTGCAAGCAACGTCACAACACTGATATTTGAACGCTCTGGAAACCATACTAACCGCAGCCGACATGCGCTTTTACAGAGTGTATAGTGACGTCTTGGTCATCCGATCGGGTGTCTCAGACACGAGTGCATATGACAGTTTACAGCCCGAAGTATATTTACATATTCGCTTCGTCAAGCAACTGTGACACTCGTTGTACCCAGGAATGTCTACCCTAAGCCAGACACACATCGAAGTACGAGAGTTCCTTAGTTCCCGTACAGTTCCCGCCTTCAGTGGGCGTTGCGTGTGACTTCAGATAGATGGCGCTTCAATCAGTATCATGTCCGTCAAGTAAATTTAGTCGAATCGTAGGAGTCCCTTGGTCTCCTGCATAACGGGGAGAGGGCGAAAGAGCCGGGTCAGCCGGGCCAAGTCAAACACCACGACTTCACGAGAGAGCGTTGATTGTGTCCGAGCTGAGTTTGTTCAGGGGGGCTACGGTTCAGGCTGGCTGTGAAGCCTTTCGCTTGCTTGGCAACGAGACGGGGGAAATTTGGGGTGCCAAAAAGTATCATCGTTCATCATCTCAGCCTGTCTTGCTTGCTCCTCTGTCAACGCGCAGAACAGCTGAAGCTCTGAAATGCATCGTGTTTGCTTTTAAACGCGGCGTGTGTTCATGAAAAAGGCTCCAGTGGATCTCGCCAGTGCATTGGAGTGAACAAGGTTTTCAAACTTTAGCGGCGAAAAATTTGGATATACGTATGAAATGTATTTATCCTTTCAAAAAAAAAAAAAAGGCAGAGCTTGCCGGAAAATAAAAGTATGCTGAGAATTTCTTTTTATGCATTCTTAGCGCTGTTTTGTGCCCCGCGAAGAAGGCAGCCTTGATGACGTCATGTTGCCAGGTCACGCGACATCGCCACGTCATGTCGAGTGACACCGTCATGTGACACTGACGTCGAATGGTCACCTGAGGCCCACGGGCCTCAGGTGATCGTTCGAAACATTCGAACAGCTCAAATTTATTTAAGATTCAAGTTTGAAAAAATCGTACAAGTTTGAAGAGGTCGAAAGAAGTCCTTGAACTTCACGGAAGCAGATCACACTCCGCAATTTCAAACTGCTTCCATGTAACTAAAAAAACACGAAATGTCTTACAATTTAACGTTGCCCATTTCTCTTATGCTATGAGTATACTCCTTCCCAGTGCTGTGGTACTGACGGTACCAAGTGTATTACTCGCTATTTGTCGTAGCTTATCAAACAAGCGTTGAACTGGTTGAACCGTTCTTCGAAAAGCCCCAAGGGTCAGGTGAACGTACTTCTGACTTATTCGCAAACTAGTAGCAATCCGATCGAACGTGTCCTAAATACAATGTTGGCACGAGAGGCGTCGTGCACGACGACGACGCATACACATAAAGGCATCCAGACTCCCAGAAATTTTTTAGTCGCT